CGCACACACGCACATACGCACGCACACACATGCATGCACGCACACACACACGCATGCATACATGCACACACACACACGCACAAATTGTCATAATATGATTTCCCACTGATCAGCAGTCTGAAACTCGGGTATCAGCTTGATTATTTGACGTCCATGACGTCATTGTTCTGAAGCACCAATAAAAAGAAATCCTGACATTTTTCCCGGTCCTTGAACTCATCATTGCAAAGCGCTAACAGCTGTTAGCTGCAACAGATCACCCATGTGGAAGTTTTTGCTACAAGCACCAAAGACTGAAGAAGAAATCATTTCATTGTTTAAAATCGTTTGAAGTGAATCTGAGCTGAGCGGTATCGGCCCTCTGAACCAGAGTCGGTGCACCTTTAAACGCTGAACAGTCATTTTCTGGAGTGACTTGTTCTTTATAAAAATCATGTTTTTCTGCGCTCCAGTGACTTTTTGTTATTTTCCATTAAAATGACGACATGTGCAGAAGGGGTGTGTGATAGCAGGTCACACGGGGTGATTTATGACCGTACGGTCTGACGTGTTTGCTGAAGTGAGGCTAACGCTAGCTCATGTCCTCTATCAAGTGCCTTTCTTTGTGCTCTCTCTGCTTTACCATCTTTCTGGTGACGACTCCTCTGCAGCACCAGATCTCTCTAGAATCCATTCCTGCAAGTCACACAGTGGATCTGTTGTTGATTTACTTCAACAACACCCCGAGCTTCGTAAGACGACTGTTTTGTTTGACAGAAGTCGACCTGTGGAGCTTCAGCAGGTTTTAGAGCATTCACCAAATAAGGCCTGACTTGATGCTGACGGATAAAAACCAGAACAGCTCTGGCCGACTCGATGACCCCTCGCCGTCTCTCCACCTGCCGCTCAGTCTGTGAGCTAAATCCAACCCCTCCCCTCATAAAAGGAGAGAAATCTGTCCTGACTGTGAAAACAGAGAAACATGCATCCAAACAGTCTGCAGCTCCTGCACAGTCCAGCAGATCAACCTCCTATCATACAAAGTCTAGCAGAGACGTTCGCATGAAAGGATGCATAGGAAGGAGGAGGCAACGATGCCGACAGCAGGAGGAAGAGCCAACAAAGGTCCATAGAAATTAGGTTTAAATTTGGAAATTGCAACCATAAGATGACTCACCACACGGCCTGCGAGCTGCCATTCATGATGGTTCCTGTTCATGTGGGTTAGGCTCAGCCGGGTTAGTGGAGTTCATGACTTCCACTGGGCTGATGCGCCTGATAACTGGGTTAACTTCCACCCGATGCATTTTCCTCCCGAACACTTCATCAGTTTTAAAAGACTAATCAAAATTTTTACTGCCTCGTTCAGAAAAACTAAAATAAAAGAATTTCTCTTTTAATTTAATGAAATCATATTTTTAAAATTCATACAGGAATACATTTTTCACTTGAATGTGCTAATTTATAATTAAAATAATGTCAAAGGTTGAAGAGCTTCATTTGGCTCCTTTTGATAAAAATGGTAGAAGATAGATATGTTTTTAAATATATAATATTATTCATTCCCAAAATATTCCCCTAGATCATAGACATCCGTTTAAAAATAAGAATGAGCATAATAATAATAATAATAATAATAATAATAATAATAATAATAATAATAGGAGCTAAGCGGTTATTCTAGTAAGGATAACAGGTGTTGCTGGAGCAGCTCACCGGTGCTGCAGTACTGCAGCAGCAGGTTGGTGCTGTCATGCAGACTCCCACACGAAGCGATCCTCTCCGACATCATCCCCTCCTCTCGGTCTCCAGCGGCTCCGGTTCCCGGTCCTCTCCTCGCCCGTCTCCGGCCCGTCTTCACGCCGTGGCCCCTTCCCGTGTCCCCCACGCTCATAAACATGCACACACGCCTTCACCGGGTCCGGTCCCGCTTCTCCCGTTGCACCCCCAGCATCAAAGCGGCGGGTTTACCGTTTTTTTCCGTTTCGCATTTCAAATTAAAAGCCTTTTAAATGAGGGATTTAGTTTTAAATGTAAAGGCCGAAATACTCACAGTGTCAGGTTTGATGGTTGTTGGTTTGTGAAAGATCATGTCTGCTCTTATTGAATCATTTTACCGACTAAAATATGACTTTCTGTGTTACATTTCTCCTGTTAAACCAAAACAAAGATGTTTGATATGAATTATACGTTCACGTAATAGTTTTAAGTAGTTATATTTTCCAGTTTTCTTTGCCCTTCAGCAGCGACCCGTGTCATTTGTTTTAATTTGAAAGGACATTATTCGTATTTCCGGTTCACGCTACGTGAAGTTTACGAACAAGTCTTCCTTTTTTATTTTATTTTTTATTTATTTATTTTTAATTGCAGAAAAGCATATTTACGTTACATATAAGGCGAACATGCAAATGTATTCAGATGAGAATCGAACAGTCAGTGAAAAAGAGGGAGGACAAAAAAAAAAAAAAAAAACACAAAAACAAACAATGCAAGGGAGCACTACACAGTTCCGGGAAGTCTACGCAACAGTCTTCACATATCTTCATAGCTGTTATTTTTGATGCATTTAAGGGAACGAACAAGTCTTCCTTCCTGTCTTCCTTGCTTAAAGCTGTTACCATAGCAACAGCTGCCTCTCAACCGCTACTGCTTTGTGATCGTTGGAGGCAGCACGGCCAGGTTCCGGTTCCAGTCACGCGAAACGTGATCCCGGTGTCGCGGTCGGGTCTAATCCATGAAGGTAAAGGAGACCTGGCAGGTGTTTGCAACTGATTCTCAAGGAGAGAAAGTGGAGTCGGTGACGTCACTGGCACCTGTCGTGTTTGCTGGTTGATATTTTCCATCATCAGTGATTTGTCAAAACAGTTGTTTGTTTGTTTGTTTGTCTCGATGTGCCAAAATTACTATTTTAACCGGATGTAGTTTCCCATGATGATGCTTCTCCGTGTGAAAGGATCGGTTATGACCGCTAGATGGCGCTGATCACTGTAGAGTCAGCTTCCCAGCCTTTTTGGACCCCGAGCCATTTCCTCGTTCCACAAGTACCCTACTGATGTGTTGGTGGTTGTCCTGAGGTAGGGTACAGCTGGTTTCATCAGAATGTTCAGCAAAAGGCCTTCTGATAATTAAACATCTGGATGGAACCAACCTGCCACAGAACGGCTGAAGGAGCTTCTAACTGCAGCTGGATAGCCGGAATGTGGTCCTGACTTAGAACCAAGACCTAAATGTGGCAAGGTGGATAAACGAGGGCCCGGGCGGGATTCGATCCCCAGACTCCCGGGTGAGAGTCATACGCTCTAACCAGTCTGCCAAAGGGACACCCCCTTGGCCAAGCAGCCAGGGCGCATGATCAATTGGGACATTGTGACAGGATGCTCACACTGTCACATAAAGGAAGACCCAGGATGTCTCTCAGCTGGCCAGGCAACACCTTGGGATTCCCCTGGAAGAGCTGGAAGTCTGGGCCTTAGGGTTAGGGTTAGGGTTAGAAGCAGGAGCTGCGCCTCTTACTCAAGACAACCCTTCATTTGTGTAAAACCACGCCCAGAACGTTCACTTCCAGTAATAAAACCAGGTTGGAGACCACAGCAGAGATGTTCTTTAATTGTTTTATTGTAAAAACAGTTTCCACTTTTCTTGTAGTTTAATTATTTGGCTTTTGTCATAATTTAATCTTTAATCTAAACACTTCTCTCTTTCAAATTTGGACAGAAATGATGCTTTTCCGTATTTTTGTGAGACATTTGGTTGTTTTTATTAAAAACACGCTTTTCATTACCAGTTCATGAAGTAGAATGAATCATGTATGACTTTTGTGTGTTTATTAAATCATCGTTGTAATGTTCGTGTTATTTGTCTGTGTGTCGCTAGCTGCTTTACTCTGCTTAGAATGGACACCAACTTGTTTTATTCTGACAGAGCGGGGTTTCACTAGCCTGGCAAGCCAGACTAAATAAATGTATTATCTTACTTATACAAACTTTGCAAAGCAAGAATTTGGTCTAGTTCATAGGCTCGGGTTTCATTTCATTTGCTCTGAAATGTTCCTGCAGCCAACTTTGTGTCTTGGATGTGTTTGTGCATGCTTTACTGGAGGTGACCCAACTCATAAACTGCTACAGGGTGCGTGGATCCCGTTTGTAACCCGTTAGCGGCAGCGATGGGACGTGTTTAGAGCAGAAAGACATTCCTGAACATTGTCTCGGCTCTTTACGATAGATAGATAGATAGATAGATAGATAGATAGATAGATAGATAGATAGATAGATAGATAGATAGATAGATAGATAGATAGATAGATAGATAGATAGATAGATGATGGATAGATGATGGATAGATAGATAGATAGATAGATAGATAGATAGATAGATAGATAGATAGATAGATAGATAGATAGATAGATAGATAGATAGATAGATAGATAGATAGATAGATAGATAGATAGATAGATAGATAGATAGATAGATAGATAGATAGATAGATGATGGATAGATAGATAGATAGATAGATAGATAGATAGATAGATAGATAGATAGATAGATAGATAGATAGATAGATAGATAGATAGATAGATAGATAGATAGATAGATAGATGATGGATAGATAGATAGATAGATAGATAGATAGATAGATAGATAGATAGATAGATAGATAGATAGATAGATAGATAGATAGATAGATAGATGATGGATAGATAGATAGATAGATAGATAGATAGATAGATAGATAGATAGATAGATAGATAGATAGATAGATAGATAGATAGATAGATAGATAGATATAGATAGATAGATGATGGATAGATAGATGGATAGATAGATAGATAGATAGATAGATAGATAGATAGATAGATAGATAGATAGATAGATAGATAGATAGATAGATGATGGATGGATGGATGGATGGATGGATGGATGGATGGATGGATAGATAGATAGATAGATAGATAGATAGATAGATAGATAGATAGATAGATAGATAGATAGATAGATAGATAGATAGATAGATAGATAGATAGATAGATAGATAGATAGATAGATAGATAGATAGATAGATAGATAGATAGATAGATAGATAGATAGATTGATAATGTGAAGAAGTTCAGGAGAGTTGGATGATAAAATTTCCTCACGAAAAGAAAATTTGTTTTAAACAAAGGTCAGTTTCCTCTGTAAAGTCAGAGGTACAGAAGAGGATTAGGACCACTGAAAAAAAAAAAGAAAAGAAAGAGAATTCTGACTTTTTCCCCAGAATTCCCTGTCAGAATTCCGAGATTAAAAGTCAGAATTCTGAGATTAAAAGTCAGAATTCTGAGAAAAACGTAAGAATTCTCTTTCTTTTAATTTTTTTTCTTGTCAGTGACTCTAATCCTCTTCCATACAGAGCAGAAATAAATAAAATGTAGAGCACAAAAAGTCTCAGTTATAATCAACCCCCGCTCTAAACGTTCGGCTCAGTCCGCTCCCGACCCCATGACCCCTTCTCACTCTGAAATGTTCAAAAGTTGGCAGCCCTGTCTTACATGTGCTTCTTCTTCTGATAACTGAACTGGGCATGAACTAGCTGGAGGAATGCTGAAGGAGTTTTGTTTTTGTTTTGACCGCAAAATCTATTTCAGGCTCTACTTTACCCTTTGATTAGTAATCGTGTCGCTCACTGTTTACATGCTTTTGCCGTCCACCATGGTGGACCCACGTGATTAAATGACGTCGATGAAAAGGGTCAATAGAAAGAGAACCACGTGACTTCCGCATTCCATTCTTTCCATAGAAGTCTATTGGAGTGTCGTAACCTTAGATATGTATGTAAAGATATGTTTATATACATATCTATGGTCGTAACTCTCTCTTTCTACAGCTCTGGTTCCTCTTAATAAAGATTTAAAAACCAGCCAATAGCTTTGTTCCTTATTGAGACGTGCTATGACCCCGCCCTCTAGCCCCGCCCCTCTCGTTGAGCGTTTCCTGGTCAACTCGAGAAGTTCTGATGAAACAAGCAGAAACAAACGAGCTCTGCGGACGTTTATCTGAGAGGTTTTAAGTGTTAAAGAGCAGCCAGACCTTCATACTAGTTAATGTGCGTTAGCATTAGCATTAGCCTCAGAACCAGGAAAGGCGTCCGCTCATCAGAACCATCGACATATATAAATATCAGAACCAACAGTAAGTTTATTTATTTAGCTCTAACGGAGATACGCGTTACTAGTGGATGGGTGCCATGTTTTATCTTAAAAGTAAAATAGATGTTTATGAAGCTGTAATTTTTATTTTTGGGAATCATTAACTAATATTGGAACAGTTTAATCAGCTGAGTTCATCGCTGGAAATATCCAAACACAAGACCCACAGAAGCTTTTAATCTCCAACTGTTGCTGGTTGTTTGTTATCTGTCGTTTCATTACCTTTCATTTAAATGTCTTTAAACCTTTAAGCTCACCTTTCCAGTAGACAACCCTAACACGTTTCACACAAATGAAACTGGAAAATACTGAACAGATTAAAACGTAATCTAAGATTAAAAATGTGTATGACAGTAAAAGCAAATAAGAAATGCCTAAACTAGCACATCTTCTGGACCGCTTTTACTAACCAGGGTCTCAGGTGAGAAGTGAGGGACACCTAGTCAGGTGGTCTCAGTGCATCACAAGGACACACACACACCTCGGGACAGTTGAACTTAGCATGTTCTCCTCCCACAGACCAAAAACATGTAACTCCACACGTGCGTGAGGAGACCAGGCCAACTCCACACATGCGTGATGAGAACACGCTAACTCCACACGCGTGAGGAGAACACGCTAACTCCACACGCGTGAGGAGAACACGCTAACTCCACACATGTGTGAGGAGAACACGCTAACTCCACACGTGTGTGAGGAGAACACGCTAACTCCACGCATGCGTGAGGAGAACACGCTAACTCCACACGCGTGAGGAGAACACGCTAACTCTACACATGCGTGAGGAGAACACGCTAACCACACGTGCATGAGGAGAACACGCTAACTCCACACGTGCTTGAGGAGAACAGGCCAACTCCACACATGCGTGAGGAGAACACGCTAACTCCACACATGCGTGAGGAGAACACGCTAACTCCACACATGCGTGAGGAGAACATGCTAACTCCACACATGAGTGAGGAGAACACGCTAACTCCACATGTGCATGAGGAGAACACGCTAACTTCACACGTGCATGAGGAGAACAGGCCAACTCCACACATGCGTGAGGAGAACACGCTAACTCCACACATGCGTGAGGAGAACACGCTAACTCCACATGTGCATGAGGAGAACACGCTAACTCCACATGTGCATGAGGAGAACACGCCAACTCCACACATGCGTGAGGAGAATACGCTAACTCCACACATGCGTGAGGAGAACACGCTAACTCCACATGTGCATGAGGAGAACAGGCCAACTCCACACATGTGTGAGGAGAACACGCTAACTCCACATGTGCATGAGGAGAACACGCTAACTCCACACATGCGTGAGGAGAACACGCTAACTCCACATGTGCATGAGGAGAACACGCTAACTCCACATGTGCATGAGGAGAACACGCCAACTCCACACATGCGTGAGGAGAACACGCTAACTCCACACATGCGTGAGGAGAACACGCTAACTCCACATGTGCATGAGGAGAACAGGCCAACTCCACACATGTGTGAGGAGAACACGCTGACTCCACTCGTGTGTGAGGAGAACACGCCAGTGCCACACGTGCGCGAGGAGAACACGCCAACTCCACACGTGCGCAACGAGAAAAGGCCAACGCCACACGTGCACAAGGCGAATAACGCCACGCGTGTGCGAGGAGAACACGCTAACTCCACACATTTGTGAGAACACGCTATCTCCACATGTGCGTGAGGAGAACACGCCAATGCCACATGTGCGTGAGGAGAAAAGGCCAATGCCACACGTGCACAAGGTGAATAACGCCAACGCCACACGTGCACGAAAACATTCTAACTCCACAAGTTTGTGAGAACACGCTAACTCTACACGTGCATGAGGAGAACACGCCAATGCCACGTGGATGAGGAGAGCATGCCACGCGTGCGCGAGGCAAACACACCAACACCACACGTGCACAAGGTTAATAATGCCAAAGCCTCCATCAGGAGGAGAACACGTCAACTCCACATGTTTGTGAGAACACGCCAACTCCACACGTTTGTGAGGAGAACAACGCCAAGGCCACATGTGCGTGAGGAGGACAAAGCAACGCGTGCGCGGGGCAAACACGCCAACGCCACACTTGCACGAGGCGAACCCGCCAACGTCACGCGTGCGCGAGGAGAACACGCCACGCATGCGCGAGGAGAACATGCAAACTCCTCATGCATGCAAGAAGAACACGTCAACTCCACATGTGCGCGAGGCGAACACGCCAACGCCCCGTGTGCGCGAGGAGAAAAGGCCAACTCCACAGGTGCGCGAGAACACATCGCCATGCGTGCGCGAGGAGAACACGCCAACTCCATGCATGTGCGTGCAGAACATGCCAACTCCACGCGTGTGCGAGGAGAACACGCCAACTCCACGCATCCGCGAAGAGAACATGCCAAAGCCACACGCGTGCGAGGAGAACACGCCAGCGCCTCACGTGCATGAGAACACGCTAACTCCACACACGTGTGTTCTGTTGTAGAACTTTAGAAACTTCAGTCCAAACCAACATTTCAGACATTTTATGAACGAGTAATAAAAATAAGCAGCAGACTGATTCTCTATCATTTAAATCTAAACCGTGTTTTTGTGACGTCCAGAACTTTGCTTTATTTTCCTTCATGAGATTAAATTTAATCCCAAAATAAATGTAGAAAAAACTTTTGTCCTCTGAGGTTTTTTCAGGATGCAAAGCCGGCAGAGGAGGTCCCACCTGGGCCTGCTGTTCCTGGCCTCCCAGCTGTTCCAGGTGGGCCTGGACAACATCCCCCCCGTCACTCTGGCTGTCCTGGCTCTGAACGTCTACCTGTTCCTGTTTCCAGTTGCTCCGCTTCTAAAGGTAACTCACCTGCTGCTTTATGTGATAATAAATCAGTAAAGATCTCTGATCCCGCCTCTTATTGGTCTCCCAGACTTGTGTAAGCGTCCATCAGGTGTACCGGTTTAACGAATGGAACCGACTCCTCCTGTCCCCCGTCCACCATGCAGACGACTGGCACCTGTACTTCAACATGGTGTCCTTCCTGTGGAAGGGCAGCCGGCTGGAGCGGCGGCTGGGCGGAGCCTGGTTCCTGTACGTGCTGTCCGTCTTCTCTCTGCTCATCGGGTTGGTCTACCTTCTGATGGAGGCGTTGCTCACCGCGCTCACCGATGACCAGTCCTACAGCTTGTCGTGTGCGGTCGGATTCTCAGGTAGAAACGAAACCGAGCCGATAAAATGAGCTTCTCTAGCTCCGCCCACTGATCTATTTTGGTGTCGTTCTGTGTTTGTAGGCGTCCTGTTTGCTCTGAAGGTGCTGAATAACCATTACCACCCTGGAGGTGTGACTTACGTGATGGGTGTTCCTGTAGCTAACCGCTATGCTAGCTGGGTGGAGCTGGTGCTGATCCACATCACGACGCCTGGGTGAGTTATTGGAATGGTTGTAAACACGGCAGCACGCCAGATGGAAGCTCATCGTTAGACCGAGTTAGGACGTTTAACGTCTCATCGCTCTCAAAGCATGCGCTCCGTCTCAGGCCTTCTCCTGGAGCCTCATTTATCAACCGCACTTACGCTCAGATCTGCGCGTAGGCACGAAATACGCACAGTGTGGTATTTACCAGTTGGTACTTGTGCGTAGGAATGTTCCTACACGCAAACCCATGCATACGAACAGCATCTAGAGGTAGAACAGGGAACCGCAGCTCCGAGTGTCTGTCATCCACCCGTGCCCGGCGGGAATCTGACGTTACACCGTGCTCTCTGGAGGGAACGCGTTCTCCGTGAGCGCAGCCATCTCGAAGGAAATCCTTCTCCTTTGCTGGGTTCTGACCCATATGTGGCACGAGAGACAAACCGCACGAATCCGATTCCACTTCATATTTTATTTTACATCTCCCTCCAGAACCTCCTCCGCTCCCCGATCGTTCACACCGCGTTGCCAAGGTGACCAGCCTGAATGACAGCTCAGTGGATGCTGCGCTGTCCGCGTTTAACCTCTACTACTTTTCTTTGCACTTAGGCAGCCAGTGTTTCCCATCTAGCTGTCAATAAAGTTTTTTTTTAAGAAAATCGGAATCCTCTCGCGTGCTGAGGACGTAGCATGACCAAATATGGTTAATTGAGGGCGTTTCTGTATGTAAATGCCACAAGCACCTGGGTACGCACAGGTGGGATTTATCATCAGAACGTGCGTACGAGAGGCCACCGCCTGTTTCATAAATCAGGAGTACGCACATCCTAAATTTCATTCGTAGGAAGGAGTAAACGAGCGTTCGTACGGACGTTTTGGTAAATGAGGCCCCAGGTTTTCTCCGGGTATAAAATAAATCAGTACAGGCGATTCAACTTTAATTTGTCCGGATTAGAAACTTTAAGGATCTTCTTACCTTCGGTGACTGGCGTTCGTCTAGATGAACAGATTCTTTGTGCTGGTGAAGAATAAACAAGTCTCTGTAAAACACCTGAATCCTGTTGTACGTGATGGTGTCCACTAGGTGGAGCTGTTTCATCAGAATTTGGTTGGTCTGTGCTCTTTTTTCTTCTACAGGACCTCCTTTGCCGGTCACCTGGCAGGTATCCTGGTGGGTCTGCTCTACACGTCTGGACCTCTGAAGACCATCATGAAGAGATGTGCAGGTCTGAACGACTCTCGGGTTCAGCCATGTCCGTGTTAAAGCACCGGTGATCTGCTCCTGCTTAAACCTGTTTCTGTGGGTTTTTCATCACCAGAGTTCGTCACGGCGAACGATCAGCGCCCGTACCGGGGGGGTGGGTTCTTCAGGTCGTCCGGTACTCCAGGTATCTGAGAATTCATGCAGCAAAGGTGGTCACTCTGGAAAGTACCAGCTGCTCACTAAACTTATTTATTTATTTCATTTATTATTTAAAAAAATACTAACAAATAAAATGAGGTTTCTCAAACCAAGAAAATGAAAAGGGAACAGAAAGAAGAAAACTTATGTTATCTGCTCCTTTTTAACTAAAATGGCATTTTTACAATGAAATAACTAAAATTATAAATTGGCCTCGACTGGTTAGCTGACTTGAGTTCAGTTTGTAAAGAAAAAAGAGAAATTAATATTAATAATAACAATTCAACAAGCAAAAGGATTTTTGCACATATACCTATTCATGCATTAAAGTGCATCGCATGCCCATATGGTCGCACATACTTCATCTATACATATACATATAGATGTACACAGGCGCGCAGATAGGGTGGGGGATGGGGGGATCTGTGTGATTACTCCTTGTAATGATTCTTATTGCATTTTTTGCAATATATAGAGTTTGTATTAGTTTTATGTGTTGCGCCCCAGGTTTCCAAATATGGTGCAATAAGTGAATTATATAATAAATATAGGGCGCTATCATCCAGTGACCATTTTACTCTATGTAACATTGCAATTGCTTTAGCTATTTTAGTTTTCACATTGTTTACATGCGGCTTCCAAGATACATTTTCATCGATTATAACTCCCAAAAAGTTTACTTCTTTTACTCTTGTAGTATTAATATCATCTATATTTAATAGACTTGTATCATTTGAGTTACTTTTACTAAATATGATGAAACATGATTTATCAGTGTTTAATGATTTTATTCCCATAAAGCCATAATTAGATTTTTTTTCATCTCAGTTTGTTTTGTTTCTACCATCTGATTGATATTATTTAATTATATTATTATATGATTTGAGTTATTTAAACTAGATTGATGCAAACATAGATTTAAGGTACCGTATTTTCCGGAGTATAAGTCGCACCAGCCATAAAATGTATAACGGAGAAGAAAAAAACATATAAGTCGCATTTTGGGGGGAAATTTTATTATTTTTCTCAAAAAATCTGAGACCGAGCGTTTCACATTGCAAGACAAGTACCGGTAACAAAAGCAGAATAAACAATCAGGGCGCAGCAGCGCGCCGCGGTCTCCAGCAGAGGATGGCGATGTTTCAGACCCTCCCAGCGGGACAGAGGAGCTGAGAGCTGGACCGGAGCCGGCCTGCCGCAGCACGGTATACATCATTTGGTATATAAGTCGCAGAACCAGCCAGACTATGAAAAACAGTGCAACTTGTAGTCTGTAAAATACGGTAAATGTTTTGTTTTTTAACAGCTCAATAACTGATCAAACATGTGAAGTAAAAACAGGACTACCAAGGCCAACTCCGGTATTACATCGTGCCTACCTTTGCTCTCAGAGGTTTAAAGGCACACGTGGCCGTTTTATTGTGTTTAGCGCCCCCTAGTGTCTGTTATTACTTCTTTGGTCAAAGCAAAAGTGAAAGTTTTCTCCTCGCTGTGCGTCCGTCTTTTTAACACCTTAATCTAACAGCTGGAACGTCTCCCCAGCCTTCTTTAGTGTCCACAGGAGCGATTCATCACTAAATGAAACAAATCAGCTGTGCTCATAGGACATGCAGGAGACGTGCTGGAAGCAGACTGCAGCTCCACTCCATTCCCACCAGCAGGTAGCGGCCCGCCTACTCTGAAGCTGCAAGTGCGGTATTCTGGCCACAGAGGGCGGTGGGGCCTGAGTGGGCCCAGTAAAGCGTCGTTTTAGCACATACTGGCTCAGGAGAACGATTTAAGAAGAAAACACGCCTGTTCTTCTGGAGGGATGGAGGATGAGGGCATCAGCTGACAGCTCGTGGTTCCTGTAACGAGTCACGTAGACTTTAATATAGTAGACTGGCTGATTTAGCTCTACGATTGATGCCACAGAGCGGTCATCGTTGTGTTTTAGCTCCTCGTTTCTCTACTGGTGGAGATTTACTTCATCAGGCGTTCACGTAGCTGTTGTTGTGAACTAGTCAGGGACTTGTTACCGTGAAACAGCTGATCACTGATTCTGTCATGTGACCTGAACAAAACACTGAATCTGTCGAGTTTGTCTGAATTATTTCTGCTCATTTGAATGAATCGATTGTGTTTCTCTGCTGGTTGTCATGGAGGTGGTGGAGGCTCCGCAGGTAACTACAGAGCAGGTGATGCAGCGTCTTACACAGGTGGGCTGACCGAGGAGGAGCAGCTGGAGGAGGCCATCAGAAACAGCCTGAATGACAGAAGTAAGAGAGTGTTTGGGATCAGCGTCACCACGACTCGCTCCGCGTTTACCGGATGATTTTTGTTTTTTAGGACCAACTCACCAGAGAGAAGCTCCGCCTCCTCCTTATGGCTTCAACCTGCCTCAGGAGGAGCTCAGGGCCAGGAGGCTGAGGTGGCTCTACACCTGAACGTGTGTGTGTGTGTGTGTGTGTGTGTGTGTGTGTGTGTGTGTGTGTGTGTGTGTGTGTGTGTGTGTGTGTGTGTGTGTGTGTGTGTGTGTGTGTGTGTGTGTGTGTGTTTAAAACATTTTCCACCTGATTGGTGCCAAACCGTCGTGCAGCCACGGACTCTGTCTAATGTACGGCAACACAAGTGTCATTTATTTTGCTGTGTTTATAAATGTCGTTTCACGTGCTCTCTGGTCATTCGCCTGTTCATTTAAGACCCGCCTGAGCTTTGCTGTGAAACTTTGTCGTGAGACGTTCTTTAACCTCATAACTAACATTTCTAATAAGTCATGAAGTTTCAAATCAGTGTTGAAGAAGTACTTGCTCTGATTCCCATGATGCCCTGGGGCATCACAGGAAGTAGGGCAGTTTAATTTAGAGCTGAGGAACGCCACGAGCTTCTCGTCCTACGTGGATTTAATGCAACTCCGTTTCCGTGACATGGATCCTAAAAACGGGAGAAACGTTTTGGTTTGAGCTTCGATGGGCTCTCAGAGCTGCAGCTCTGGGACCATACTCCTGGATCAGAGGCTGCAGATGTTTGTCCCACCTGCTGAGACCCCCATCGCCACACGCTGCTCTCATCTTCACCCACTCTAGTTGATCCAGCATGAAGGTCAGTTTGCCAGCTTCGTCTCCTGGGACCAGGAAGTGTTCTGCTGCTGCATAAATGAAACGAGCCCGTGGTCGCCCGAGTTTGGATCCTTTCTTCTCCAGAGTTCAGAGATTAATGCTCAAATCCTGTGGGTGGGTGGGGGTGAATGGCTGAAGCAGAGGCCCAGACTGGGATTGGAAGAGAAACCAAATAAGTGTTTTCCAGACTGTTTACCAGGAGGGTGCACGAGTGTTGTGAAAGTGATGGACCAAGACGGTTAATGTCGTGTGGTTGGTAATAAGCCAAGCGGATGGTGGCACCACAGCTCTTAACTTGTTCCTGGGTGCTGACTGTAGAGTAATCAATAGTTGGTGGGATATTTCTGGACTTTCACAAGGATGATTTAGTCCCCATAAGAAGTACCTCTTTGTCTTTGAGTTGGAGGGAACCCGGTCCCTGATTTCTGCAACACAGCCGAGGAGAGACGATGGTGGAGGAAGGAGTGGCTGAGACGTAAAGCTGGGCGTCGGCATAACCGTGGCAATGATCAAAGTAAGTGGGATGTAGATGGTGAAAGGTACGGAGCCAAGGACCGAGCCTTGTGGAACCCCAGGCGTGACGGGAAACGCTGCAAAAGCAGCTATCAGAATAAAGAGAATTGCAACTAAACCTGAGCGCTGCTGCTGGAGATGATGGAGCGACCCGGTTTTAGTCCGACAGCCAAGAGTTGGAACTTCTTTAGCGTAAAACGATGAATTTGTGTCCAGGATGAATTTGTCTTAGGCTACAAACGGCTGCAGACCCACTCAGAAATGGAACTGGATCCCAGGAGCACGGCCGTTTGAACGTTCTCCTCATTCAGCTGACCTTTCTCAAGCTTGACCTGACCCCTCGCTACGACCTGATACGGTAACCAGAGTACTTTCACCCTTCAGCAAACATCAGTTGGGATCTACTTCCACAGTTCTTTCTTCGCTCGGCTGTCGTCTCGACTGCTGTCACACTATCTCTCCTTCTTCCATTTCTGCCCTTTGTTCTCCAGCATCCCGGCGTGGTTTTCTCCACTGCTTCAGGAATTTTTCTCCCTTTGAATTTTGATTCCTCCCCAGTGTCTCCTGCTCTCCTACCTTTTCTCCTTCATCTCTGCCTCCTCGTGTGTTTGATGCTCTTTCAGGTGTTTTTGTTTTCTCGCTCTGGGCTTGATCTCCACACACTTCACACGCTTCCTCTGTCTTCCCTCCTTGCATAAATGCCCCTTGTCTTTCCTCACCAGTTAGTTGCCTGAAGATCAGAGTTGGCACGTCTCACTGTGAGCTGCAGAGTTATGGAGCTTCTTAATTCACAGCAGCAATCTAGGTGACCCATTTCTGCACAGCTCACACATTTTAACGCTGTGAAGCGAAGTGCGTTAATTCCACGCTATAACCTCCCCACTGCAGTGTGGATCTCTGCTGCAGGTCTGTCAGGCGCGACTCCACTTGAATAAAGCACAACACCTGCTTATTTTGTTTCTGCAGGGCAGAACTGGACACATCACAAGCAGTTTCATCACGTTTTACATGATTTCCTGTCTCCAAACAGTTTCCCGTGTTCTATGCTGTCCAGGATTCAGCAGCAGTTCTTCCCTGATGGAAAATGGGTTAAGGTGCGTATTTAGTTTCCATTATTTGGTCCTTTCTTCTGACACCTGCAGCATCTCTAATTCAGTTTCCTCTTAAATTTCCTCTCTGAAAACTTTGAACTGTTTCTTCTTCAGGTTTTATTTGTGCTGTTCTAAAGCCAAAGGGGCTGGAATGAAGGCGACTGGACTTGAATCAGATCCTGAAATGTTTGAACTTCTGATTTTAGAGGTCTGATGGTTTTAACCCAACAACCTTTTTTATGCATCTTGTTTCTATGAGACTTTCGTTTTCTCCACTCTGGAGCGTTGCATGCAGGTTATTTCATCTTTAACCTGAGTCTGACTAAACTTTGTGTTTAAAGTCTCATCTGAAGGCATTCGAACAACTTCTCACTCCAGGATGATTTTTCAACCAAGACATTTCTTACATTCGTTTTTAAAGTTTAAAGCGTTTAAACACTGAAAAAAAAAATCTGTGCTCTTGACATAAAAAAATTATAGACAGTGGTTCCACAAAACAAAGTTAAGTCCCATTAACATGGCACTTTAATGTTTGTTGAAATACTTTTATTCAAGTGTAATTAGTATGACTTTTTAACATCCATAAAATAAAGTATTTTTAGGTTTATTTAGCATGAAATATTCATGTTTCGAAGCATATTTTTTATATGGGAGGAACCTGATTTTTTTAAGTTTATAAAATGAATCATTTTTAGGTTTGATCAACATGAGATTTTTCATGTTTGATAGATATTTTTAAGTGTGAGAAATATGATTTTTTCAACTTCATAATACAAAGATTTTTTATGTTAAAAAACACAATTTTCAGCTATCTTACACAAACCACATTTTGTATTGATAGGATAATCAATAACAAAGTACATGATTAATCATCTGCACAATTGTTTTATTTGAATTTACAAATACGATTCCATACTTGTGGTACAATTAAAGAAACATAACTCCACTGCATTCAACAGTATTGTGAGTTTAAAAATTTGCTTTACAATCACAAACTGAGTTTACAGAATGATGTAAAAAAACAACCAAATTTAAACATTTGTCTCTGTAGCCAAAAGCAGAGTACTCCCACAACCTGGTAGTTATTGATATTAAAAGTGGATACTGGAAACTTTACTCCGGAACTCGAATAAACATACCCACTCATGAACAGTTTAAATTACACACAGCAAACTGAAATCTTAATCTATTACTTCTGATTATCAAGAACACTTTATATTCAAGAATACCTTAGGAAAAAAAATCTCATTTTTTTAATTAACGCTATCCAAACAAAATTGGCCTTTATTTGGCTAAATTGGACAACTATCCAAATCACAGAGGACTATTTGGTCTTACCCTTTGTGCAAATACTTCCTTCATAAAAAACATGAACTAACTGATTAGTCACAAAAGGGGCTCATTTTCACAAGTCACACCAAAGTTTCATTACTGGCAAACCTTCTGAATTGAGAAATTACTTACAAAAAAAAAAAACCTGTCAACAGGAAGCAAGTTAAAAGATCACAAAAGGTAACATCATCTCACAAGCTAAATTTTTTTTCCAGGAAACCCAAGAAATTTACAAAAAAGTACTGTGTTACTAATGTATTAATATATTTGTAATGTATTACTGTTGAAAGAGTTGCCTGCATTAACAAACAAAAAACTTACATGTTAGCCTAGCCTTCTTTGTGTCTGGCATTTCCACGCTGCAGCTTTATCTCTGTGTCGAAGGAAAACCGTGTAATGTTAAACACAGAGGGCCAGAATGTCCTGGAAACTGATGAACTGGATGCATCCAATTCGTTTGAGGCAAGAATATCCATGTCAACACAACCACTTAAAAGAAGGGATGTTTCAGCAACACAAGTATTTAAGTCATTTGCTGAAGTGCCGGGGAATTCAGCCTGTAAAGGAATTCCCTGTCGTGGATATAATTCGAATTGTCCCTCTGTCCTGACTTCATCCATGGAAGTAATGTTCATAAACTCATTGCTGAATAATGGATCCATAAATTAAAGTCTGATCGCATGGTTTAGGCCACGTTGTTTCTGAATCTCATTGACTCCGACTAAATTGTAGAAGAAAAATTATTGTGAATGAGAGAATATGTCTGTAGAAAACAGAGCAGGAAATTGACCCCTAAAGGCTGGAAAATTCTTTAGGTTACATCAGTAAAAACATCTCACTCGCAGAGTCTATTTTTGAGAAGTTGGACTTTCTTTGAAAGAGTGTTTCCTTTGAGCTCCATCACTAGTTTCTGCAGTACTTCAAATGTGTACTTCAAACTGGGAGGGTAGTTCAGGTTCAGCGCATAGATGAGTCCAAATAGCACAGCTGTAGCTAATGCTATGTTATCCAGGTCTTGGAATACTATTTGGCCTTCAAGCACAATCCCAATGTCTTCCGCTGTATTGGTCAGTACACTTCTCACCACATAGATTCCCAGGGTAGTCTCCTCAATGGACGTCTGGAGGTAGTCCTCATCTGCGGCCTGAGGAATGCAAATAAGTATTCAATGAAGGCCTTAAAAAATTTGACAAATAATTATTTTATGAACTAACAAAGCATGGAGAACAGTTTCATTAAAGACTCACTCCAATGAAAATCTTTTTTTGCCTTTTCTTAGCTTGTTCTTGTAGCATTTTTTTTATGCCAGAGGAATTAAATTAAGCTGAAAATAAATAAATAAATAAATAAATGCTTAGTATGAGGATTGCTGTAAAGCCAGTGACTTTATACAGTTTGCTGGGTTCCTTATACAGGAAACATTTTTTCTGATTGGCTTAATGAACTGACCTGTACTGAAATATTTACTGTGTGAAGTGCCTTGAGATGACTCTTGTCATGATTTGGCGCTTTTTAAATAAAATTGAATTGAATTGAATAAATAAATAAACAAAAACAATTAAAAAAATCATAAAATAGCATTTTTTGGTATTTATGCATCTGAATTGCTGTGCATCTGTAGCAGATCACAAAAGGCAGACTAAAACTGCTGGTGTTTGTGAAGTCACATTCACCCTGGGCGGAGCCTAAACCATTCCTGCCCACTCAGGCTCTGAGGAAAGGTTATCAAAGTTCCAAAGGCTTCGCCCACAACCCTGAAGCAATTGAAGGTCAAGATCAAATAGCCAACGAGGCATACATCAATGACAAAAAAATCTCCAAATTGGTATAATATATAAAAAAGAAACTTACCACTGCAACAGAGCCTTCACGTGGTGTGGTTCAAAGTTCTATACACAAGACTCTGCAGATCAAGAAATCCTTTTTTCTGTTTCTGGAAGGGAAACAAAATAATAATAGTCAGATTAAGTAAACAAAGTAGGCAAATCAATCCTACCAGCAGAGGACAAATTTACCCCAACAACTTTTAAAGGAAGGGGTGATTTTTATTGTTGATGTTCCAATATAATATGCAGGGTTTTTCCTGGCTCAAATAGAGACAGAGGTGGTACCATCCTGACCATGCGCCAGCATATGCATACTCTGTGCATTCAACTGCCTCAAATTTTTAAAGGCAAAATATTATAAAAGACTCAATAATATGCATTAGATTGGTGTTTAGTTCCCTTTTTCCCATCTGATATTTGTAGTTAAAATATTTTTAAATATTTGACCTACATTTCAGTAACAGTTTAGGTTTGTATTAATAACACTCATCTTAGCCAAAATAACACATACATTTATCCAGTAAAATATGCTTTTCATTAACATGCACTTGTATTAGAAATGGTAATAACATTTAATTTCTGCTGCTAATAATGTAATGGTGACATGTCTATTATGTACGGGTTAGTGTTAGGGGGGTGTTCTGTTTTGCCTTGGCCCCCAAAATTCCTTGAAACAGCCCGGGGTGTGTGACTGAGTTTTGAAGGTGATCTGAATTGTATCCGATGTATAAATATTACGTGTATAACTTATTGTTTTATACTGGTAAAAATGTGTAGTGGAGATAAATCTACCTACATTTTACTTTCAAGCTTTGTTTTTATTTAATTATTTTCACATCCCGTCTGTCTCTCATCTTCCTGCATCTCTTCTAAACTCTCTAGAAAAACTGCTGCCTGGATTCTTACTTTTTCACCTCTGTTACTTTTAAACTACGCAAATTGTTATGTAAATAAGAAAATTAGAAACAGACAATTAAAAAAGCAGCTCCTTTAAATATTTTATTTTTTGCTATTTTTCTTTTTGGTTAGATTTTTCTGTTTATTTTTTATTTATTTTTGTTCATTAGTTAATTATTTCCGGTTCGGTTACTTTCTTTGTGAACCTTAATAGTTAAGTGTTACCCACTTTTCAAATACATTTTAGAGTATAATGTCTGATCTATTGGACCCTTTTTAAAGAGATTTGGCATACAAAATAATTTATTTTTTAAAATTAGGGGCACACTTTGACTATGACCGTTTTTTTTTGTACAGCCTATGCACTAAAAATGCAACCAGCATACTATTAAGAGCAGATAAGGTAGGACTACATCTACAAGTAAGATTGAATATTATATTCTGTTATTTAATCATTCATAAAAATTATGTAACTTTTTATTTACCTATCAAAACATTGATAACGCCATTAACTATTACTCTGTCACCAACTTATATTAATTTACTTACTTATAATTATCCCTAAAATGCTGAAAACTGTCACGTGAGCTGCCCTGTGACCAAGCTAGCACCTGCTTCAGAGCCTGACTCGTCAAAACACAACAGAACCACGTCTCGGTGTGTCCTTCCTCAGCCGCTTCATTCAAACTGAGAACGGTTCAGAAGATGTTTTACCAGAGAAAGAGACATTGCAGAAACGCAATTCGGGATTGTCAACCATATGCTCGTCATTTGTTGAAAGAAAGTAAAGCACAACACCAACGACCCTTAAGTTACAAAGCGCAAGCAAAACAAATTCTTTATTAGTGGACACTAAAGGTGTATAAAACAGGATGGTAAAATCAACCGTTTTACCTTTAATCAAGAATTACTCCACTTGTGCCTGCACCACGGACTTAACTCGTCAAGCTAGTCTGCATAGTTACATCGCGCTCGCGCCGTCCCTCCCACGAAGGGGGGGGGGGGTGGGGGGGGGGAGGGAGAGGGAGAGGGAGAGAGAGAGAGATAAAGAAGTTAAAAAATGGCGGGCTTGGCCTCCTTCTTCCCCTAAAGGGGGACTTAAACGAAGCCTTTTAATCCTCCACACTTTAAAATTGTAATGGCACCAGGTATTAAATTGGCTAAAATTACTCAGGAGTCGAACACAAAGGCACACACACACACACACACACACACACACACACACATACACACAAAATCGGCATAATGAGTAAAATCATGACAGAGCAGGACAGTTTCATATTTAGCTAGCTTAAAAAGTTATCTTTAAACAAACTTGAAAATGCTTGTTTTACTATTATATTCTACTAGGTTATAAAAAAATTATATAAAACATTTATTGGTTAACATCCGAGAACAACAATATACTTAATTTGAATACATTTAACAATAGACTTACCATGTTCAGCAAAGAGCCCTTTTCCCAACGACACAGAAAATGGCGGATGAAATGAGTGAGCAGCAAGTGTTTTAAACGTCACTCCTCGAAGGGGGCGGAGTGTACTCCTAAACATGATCCGAACATGTTGTTTCAACATGAAAATTACATTTACATCTAACAACATCAAGGAATATGTTATGTGTTTAAGACTTTGTTATGTTAAAGCAAGAAACAAAAAATAATCATGTTAGCTTTGTAAAATATATACATGTCAAGATCACAATCCCATTTCCCCCTTTTTATCAGTGAATGTTGGTTTTTGCACAAACTAAACGCTCCTGTCACTTCTCTTAAATAATCCGAGCTTTTACTCCTCTGATGCTGTTTTCTTTTAGTTTGCAGAAACCTCAAACCTGACTGGAGCAGCTTTAGTCTGATAATCCAGAGACACCCCTGATGTGAAGTGAAACGGACGAGTTCTTCCCCGTGTCTGCGAGTGCGCGCGCGCAGCAGCAGGAGGACGGTGGCGCGTGTGCGCGCAGGGAGAATTTGGGGAGTTGGGCTGGTGCTGCAGCTGAGAGGAGGATGCTGCAGCTCCTCTCCTGATGTTTCCTGGTCCTCCAGATTCCTCCTGAAGCTGGGTTTCTACGCTCCAGCCGCGCCTAGGAGAGACGCTGCTCGGATCATCTCCCTCTGTGCTGAATTACTGAGGGCTCCCGGTTCTTCCAGCTGCTTTCTTTGTCTCCATCCGCAGCGTCTCTGCGCGATTTTGGGTTAAAGCGAAGCGGCGCGGGCAGCTGATGCCCGAGCGCCTCACATTTCCGCAGGATGCTGCCTAAAATAACCCCGGTGTGTCACGGTGAAGGGACGGATTCGTGTCTGATGCAGCACCGCCGCGGCATTTCTCCGGGCTTTTGCGGTTTACATCCTCTGCTGGTACCGGGTGAAGTCTCTGCGCAGCTCCCCGCGCAGCCGAGGGAGCCTTGAGTCCGTTACCTGCCTCCTCCTCATCCTCCACAGCCTCCTGACCCCCCCCCCCCCCCCCCCCTGCACCGGGAGCACACCGGTGACTTTTAATGGCTTTTGTGTTCAGAAGATGGAGGGTTTTACTGCTGCTGAACGTGCTGGCGGTCGCTGGGTTCATGACCTTCTGGGCCAAATGCAACAGCCGCAGCGTCCAAGCCGGCGGTCCGGAGGCTCTGGGCTCCGGGCGGCCCCGGGCCAACGGGACGGCGCAGGAGCCCAGCATCAGCCACGAGGTGCTGCTGAAGAGGCTCAGCTCGCTGGAGGACGTGGTGTACCGGCAGCTGAACGGTAAGAGCACCGGGACACTGAAGTCCGTTATTCTGCACAAGTTCATTCAGATCTTTTCCAGAACAAAACCGATTTGATCTTCAGCACCGACAAAACTCAGGAATGAAACGAGCGATAATTGGTGTAAAAGTTTGGCACAAATGACTCTTACGTCATTTATCTGCACGTGTTGAATTTCCTATATTATTTCAGCTGTAACTGTTGATCAATAATGTTTTATTACAATCTCTAAAAGCCCATTTTTAGATTTATCCCTTCATTTTTTCCTGACTCCAACAATCTAAATAGTTCTTCATCCATCTTATTCAAAATTTATGTTTTGCAAACATAATTGTCCATATTAGCCTTTATGTTTTTTCACAATTCTTACAAAAGATCACTTTCCCTAATGTTATGCAGTTTTAATGCTTTTATAATGTTTACAGAACAGCATGTTTACACAGATTCAGGACAAACCTAGTGACACATTTTATTTAGCTACAAGTTACCAACCAACTTATGACCAAAGACTTTAACATCATCTGTTAGAGAAAATTCTCATGACCCTCTGGGTGGATTTTACATGTAAATCTTCAACTGCTGTTATTTTGGAGTCTACCCGATTAAAAAAAATCAACTCAGTGTTGTGAGACGATTTGGTTTATCATGTTAAATAGGTTGTTTTGTTTGAAATGAAAAAGAACGCATTTAAGTTTCTACGACTTTTTTTGACAAATTTATTTCCTGTTAACTCTTATTTTGAAAGCAAGTAAAAGGAAGTGTTTTATTTGAACGAACATGAAGGACTTCTCTCTGCAAATGCTAGCTCCTATGGTGAAAACGGTTTCGGAGGAAGATTGCTGTACTTCAGAGAAGACCACACGTTAAAAATAAGTGTTCAGTTTGAAAGAAAAGCGCGGAGCTTCTGCTGCAACAGTCACTTTAAGAGAATCTCAGGTAAAACGTGAGTAAACGGTTTAAATCAGATAGTCCGAATTCAAGATGGCCGCTACGGCTAACTGACTTTAGCTAACAGGAAATTAGCTTTAAGATGTTGAGTTAAAGATTGTTGTAAAAGCAAGATCGTAGCTTCAGACTTTGGATTTACGTGCTTGTTCTCTGGCACCAAATTATCCCATGAAAAACGGGATGGATTAGGAAGAGAGAAAACGGTCTTTTCCCAAGATAAAACGTCACCAGGCGCTTCATAAGAACAATATATACAAGGCGCTTCATAAGAACTATATATATATATATATATATATATATATATATATATATAAAAGATGATAACTCCTCCTTGAACCGTCACCTCATCGTGGTGGAGGAGTTTGAGTGCCCTAATGATCCTAGAAGTTATGTTGTCTGGGGCACTTTGTGCCCCTGGTAGGGTCTCCCATGACAAATTGGTCTTAGGTGAAGGGTGAGACAAAGAACGGTTCACGGGATCTTTCATGGAAGTAAATTCAAAGAGTCGGAGTACCCGGCCCGGAGGGTTACCGGGGTCCCACCCTGGAGCCAGGCCTGGGGTTGGGGCCCGTGAGCGAGAGCCTGGTGGCCGGGCTTTGGCCCATGGGGCCCGGCCGGGCCCAGCCCGAACCGGATACATGGGCTCATCCAACTGTGGACCCACCACCCGCAGGAGGAACATGAAGGGTCCGGTGCAATGTGGATCGGGTGGCAGACCAAGGCGGGAGCCTTGGCGGTCCAATCCCCGGACAAGAAAACTGGTTTTTGGGACATGGAACATAACCTCGCTGGCGGGGAAGGAGCAGGGGCTTGTGGCAGAGGTTGAGCGGTACTGGCTAGATATAGTCGGACTCACCTCGACACATTGCATTGGCTCTGGAACCCAAGTCCTTGAGAGGGTTTGGACACTCTCCTTTGCTGGAGTTACTCCGGGTGAGAGGCGGAGGGCTGGGGTTGGCTTTTTGTTAGCCCCAAGACTCTGCCTGTGTGTTGGGGTTTACCCCGGGGACGAGAGGGTAGCTTCCCTGCGCCTTCGGGTCGGGGAACGGGTCCTGACTGTTGTTTGTGCTTATGGGCCAAATATCAGTTCAGAAAATGGCTTATATGTCTCTGGTAATCCTTTTAAAATCATAGCTACCAGCAGCCCATCACTTAGTGTCTCTCCTGCGTTTCTTAAAGCAGTAATTGTAGTCTCCGCTCATAGGATATACTCCGTTACACTTTCATCATGCATCTTCTGAAGAGAAGTTAAGTCAGTATAAAGACAGATGATCCTGGGTTTACCTTTGCTAGCGTAGTAGTCCCTCAATATCCGTAGTGCTGCGCAGCCATCGTCAGCTGCGTCTCTCATCACGAGGGACAGGCTCTTGTCGTCCAGGAATTGGATCAATTCTGCGTACGCTTCCGCGTTCTTATTCTCATCATCAGAATCAGCTTCACCTTCATCGGTGCTCAATATAGTGTCTTTTAGTCCTTGCAATCGTAAGTGGCCTAGGAATTTGGTTTCCCACAACTCGTATTTCTGCTCATCTCCGTCAAATGCCAACCTTGCCCACCTGCTTCCGGATTCCATCACTCGCCGGCTCATGGTGTAGGCTGACAGCGGCTCAACAAAGGTGATCGTTCCTCTTAATGTGTCTGGGGTAATCCTTCGGTTAGGCTCCTTTTACCGAGTAGACTGGGCCCATAACCTGTTAGCAGAATCATCAATCTCACTGACGGAGGAAATAACACAGCCACATCACTGCTTCGCGTCTCAATCAGGGAACACCTGGTTTATTTTGTCATGTGCCTTTTATGCGTCACTGACAGCGATCTCATTAGTGAAATTACACATGACATTAGTTAACAAAAGATAAAGATATACATACAGAGATAAAACAAATGAGAACACAAGCATATGTAATATAAATCAATATTAAATCATGACCTTTTGTAGATCTCAGTTCTTAACAAGTACCCACCCTTTTTGGAGTCCCTGGGATGAGTGCTAGATAGTGCTCCATCTGAACTCAAGTGGTGTTTCGTTTTTGGACTTCTGTGCAAGCCACAGTTTGGTCATAACAAACACCATGTTCGAACATAAGGATGCCCATCGGTACACTTGGTACCAGGGCAGCCTAGGTCACAGGTCGTTGATAGACTTTGTAGTCATATCATCTGACCTGCGGCTGTATGTTTTGGACAACCAAGTGAAGAGAGGAGCGGAGCTGTCAACTGATCATCACCTGGTGGTGAGTTGGATCAGATGGCAGGGGAAGATGCCGCGTAGACCTGGCAGACCCAAACGCATAGTGAGGGTCTGCTGGGAACGCCTGGCAGAAGAACCTGTTAAGACGGTCTTCAACTCCCACCTCCGGCAGAGCTTTGAACGCATCCCGAGAGCAGTGGGGGACATTGACTCCGAGTGGGCCTTGTTCCACTCTGCGATTGTTGAGGCGGCTGTTGCTAGCTGTGGTCGCAAGGTGGCCGGTGCCAGTCGTGGTGGCAACCCCCGTACCCGCTGGTGGACACCAGAGGTTCGGGGAGCCGTCAGGCTGAAGATGGAGGCCAACAGGGCGTGGTTGGTCTGTGGATCTCCGGAGGCAGCAGACAGGTACCGAATAGCCAAGCGGGGTGCAGCAGTGGCAGTTGCCGAGGCTAAATCTCGGGCGTGGGAGGAGTTTGGTGAGGCCACGGAGAAAGACTAACGATCGGCTCCAAAGAGGTTCTGGCAAACTGTCCGGCGCCTCAGGAGAGGAAGGCAGCAACTCGCTCACACTGTTTACAGTGGGGATGGGGAGCTGCTGACGTCAACTGGGGCTATAGTTGGACGGTGGAAGGAATACTTTGAGGAGCTCCTCAATCCCAGCTATGCGCATTCCAAGGAGGAACCAGAGCCGGGAGAAGTTGGGATGGACTGTCCAATCTCGGGGGCAGAAGTTGCTGAGGTAGTCAAACAACTACACAGCGGCGGAGCCCCGGGGGGGATGAGGTTCGTCCTGGGTATCTCAAGGCTTTGGATGTTGTAGGGCTGTCATGGTTGACACGTCTCTGCAACATTGCGTAGTCATCGGGGGCAGTTCCTGTGGAGTGGCAGACCGGGGTGGTGGTCCCCATCTTTCAGAGGGGTGACCTGAGGGTGTGTTCCAACTATAGGGGGATCACACTCCTCAGCCTCCCTGGAAAGGTCTACTCCAAGGTACTGGAGAGGAGGGTCCGATCGATAGTTGAATCTCAGATTGAGGAGGAGCAATGTGGTTTTCGTCCTGGCCGTGGAACTGTGGACCAGCTCTATACCCTTGCAAGGGTGATGGAGGGGGCATGGGAGTTTGCCCAACCAATCCACATGTGCTTTGTGGATTTGGAGAAGGCTTATGACTGTGTTCCCAGGGGCATCCTGTGGGGGACGCTCCAGGAGTATGGGGTGGGTGGCTTTCTGTTAAGGGCCATTCAGTCCCTTTACCAGAGAAGCGTGAGTTTGGTCCGCATAGCCGGTAGTAAGTCGGACCTGTTCCCGGTGAGGGTTGGACTCCGCCATGGCTCCCCTTTGTCACCGGTTCTGTTCATTACCTTTGTGGACAGAATTTCTAGGCGCAGCCGTGGTGTGGAGTGTGTCAAGTGGGCGACAGGCGAATCTCGTCTCTGCTTTTTGCGGATGATGTGGTCCTCCAAGCTTCATCCAGCTCTGGCCTTCAGCTCTTGCTAGGTAGGTTTGCGGCCGAGTGTGAAGCGGCTGGGATGAGGATCAGCACCTCCAAATCTGAGACCATGGTTCTCGACCGGAAAAGGGTGGCTTGCCAACTCCGGGTCGGGGGAGAGGTCCTACCTCAAGTGGAGGAGTTTAAGTATCTCGGGGTCTTGTTCACGAGTGAGGGTAGGAGGGATCGGGAGATCGACAGGCGGATTGGTTCGGCGTCTGCAGTGATGCGGACGCTGAGCCGATCTGTCGTGGTGAAGAGGGAGCTGAGCCAGAAAGCCAGGCTCTCGATTTACCGGTCGATCTACGTCCCAATCCTCACCTATGGTCGTGAGCTTTGGGTAATGACCGAAAGAACGAGATCGCGGATACAAGCGGCCCAAATGAGTTTCCTCCGTAGGGTGGCCGGGCTCAGCCTTAGAGATAGGGTGAGGAGCTCAGACATTCGGGAGGGACTCGGAGTAGAACCGCTGCTCCTCCGGATCGAAAGGAGCCAGTTGAGGTGGTTTGGGCATCTGGTCAGGATGCCTCCTGGACGCCTCCCCGGGGAGGTGTTTTGGGCATGTCCTGCCGGCAGGAGGCCCCCGGGTCGACCCAGGACACATTGGAGAGGTTACATCTCCAATCTGGTCCGGGAACGCCTTGGGGTCCTGCCGGAGGAGCTGGTGGAGGTGGCCGGGGAGAGGATGGTCTGGAGCTCCCTAGTTGGGATGCTGCCCCCGCAACCCGGACCCGGATAAGCGGAGGTAGACGACGATGAAGATGATAACATATGGTTTAAATGAAAAAAAAAAATCGCTTAAAAGTGTAAGGAAATGGAAAGAATAAACAAATTGGATAGAAGGAAATTAAAATTAAACCTGATTGAAATAAATATTGGAAACTCATGGCCGATTAGAGCTATATCCTTTAATCTTCAGCTGATTTTAGGTTAATGGACTCGGTGACAGCACAGACAACTGCTGTCCTTTTGATGAATCACATCATCTCCCGGTTCGGTCTCCCTGCGCGTGTTAGCTCGGATAGGGGAACTCACTTCACCTCTGAAGTGATGGAACACCTTTGGCAGATGTTGGGGGTAAAGGCCAATTTCCACATTGGTTACCGGCCCCAGTCTTCTGGCCAAGTTGAAAGGATGAACCAGACGGTTATCAGTATTTTAAAGAAATACGTGTCCTCTAATCACAGAGACTGGGATGTGAAGCTTCCGTTGGTCCTGATGGCCATACGGGCCACTCCTCATGAGTCTGCAGGCGCCTCCCCGTTTGAAGTGATGACGGGTAGACGGATGACCCTGCCGCTTCACCTGCTGTATCAGTTAGTTGAGTCCATTGCTGCACCGGCTTACACTAACAAGCAGAAAACTCGAAGAACCATCTGCCTGCAGCGTTTTACTTTGCACAGACGAATCTGGAGAAATCAACTGAGGGCAGGAAGACTATCTATGATCAAAAGGCCTCACATTTTGAACTCAACGTAGGTGATAAGGCCTAGTTCTACAACTTTGCTCTTCAGTCCTGTCAGACAAAAGTCACCTCTGGTAAACTGGCTAAGAAAACAATTGCTGAAGTTGTCAGGTTCAATCAATCAATCAACTTTTATTAACAGACTCAAGGTCCAGAGACAATAAAACCAAACATAAGATAAAAAACTACACAAGAAAAGACAAAGATACAAGGTAGTCAATATAAACACCTATACCAATAATGCCATAATTCTGACTGATAGCGTGTGGTACTACAGTCAACAAGCACTTAATAATAACATTTTCACATTGATTAACTCGACAAATAAACTGAAACATCAAGTTCCTCAACATAGCGTGGAATGTACTGATCCCAGAAGAGACAAACGAGCAACTCGCACTTTCCCAACGAGGCCTCTTTAGTAATATTCTCAGACAATCGTTATATGCTACATAGAGACGCCTAAGACTTGTTTGCTTATAGGAAGACCACAAATGAGCTGTATATAATTGAGTACAGTAAGAGTGTCTTTTTAAGGGTTAGTGCACATACTAAACCTACGCACTAACGTATTAGCCTGTGCATACATTCTACGACATTGCCGATCAATATCAATATCGTCAGCCAATTCGTCATTAATGAAGTGCCCCAAATATTTATATTTGTTCGTCACAGGCAAAACATTACCACATAATTCAAACTGGGGAAACTGTAACCCTTTATCTTCTTTTGTTCTACAGGTCCTGATGACACCTTACTAGAGTTGTAATTGATGTCAAAATCCAGCCCATACTTTGAGCAAATATCTAGCAGTTCCTGTAATCCCACACTACTAGGACTCAGGACGACAAGATCGTCAGCGTACATAAGATGGTTGACTAGGGTTGATCCAATCGTACAACCAGTTCTGCAATTATTTAACTGCTGTGACAGTTCATCCATGTACAAGTTGAAAAGCACAGGAGAGAGTACCCCGCCTTGCTTTACTCCATTCGTAGCACCAAAAGGAGCAGAAAATCAACTACCCAATCACACCTGCATATCCTGATTAGCATACCAGTAGACTAGGATTCTCAGAATGTACTTAGGAACCCCTCGTTGTCGCATTTTAACAAAAGTTTCAGATGATTTACACGGTAAAAGGCTTCAGACGCATCAATAAAGGATAACACAGAGGAGTTGCCTCTTGGAAACTTCCTAATTATTTCTTTTAAATCAATTATGCACAAATCTGTGCTAAGCTTAGACTTGAACCCAAACTGATTATCTGTAGAGCAGATAAAATACTTAAGCCTACTTAGTAGCACTTTTCCCATAACCTTGGATACAATGCTTGCCAATGCAACGGGCCTATAGTTGTCCATGCTACCTGCTCTACCTGCTTTGTCTTTTATGACAGGGACCAGAATAATAGACATAAGTGCATCAGGCAGAATGACATGTGTCAAACCACTAGTAAAGCAGATGGCCAGTAGAGGTAATAACCTAAAGTTAGCATATTTCAGATGTTCCGTGTATATTCCATCCAGACCACAAGATTTATTGTCTGGAAGCTCAATCACTTTTCTCTTCATGCCAAGCTTAAGAGCTTCCTTTAAGAGCAATTATACAAGAAAAATCTACTCACCGACCATGTCCAGCGACGCCAGGACCTGCCCGGCCTGCCAGACGGGCTCCATCTCCAGCGGCGACTTGCACGCCAAGTGTAAGGTCTGTCTCGGGGCTCACCACGCTGGCCTGGCCTTGACCCCCAGGCCTCGTGCCCGTTTTGTACCGCTCTGCCCGTGGCTGAAAAGGTCCGCCGGGCTGAGTACTTCACCCCCACCAGCCTGTTAGTGCTGTGGCTACATAGCTCATCATCACCAGCGTGTCAATGTGTGAATGGTTGATTGTGTTGTGAAGCACCTCAGGTGGTTGTAAAGCCCTGGGAGACACTGGAGATAGATGCGCTGCGCCACGTCACGCCCGCGCCGTCATTTTAAAAAGGAAGCCATTATAGTTATTGACAGTGGCTACACGGGGAGTGAAACGCCTCATCCCCGAAATGCCGGTCTGCGCCACAGTGCTAGCATAGGCGCCCGTTCTATTTCAAGCGCGGTGGCGCGTCTGTTTACGACCTTGTGGAGTACTTTCCAACGGACATTATGATGCGGAACGGCTCTTCTGTACAAACCCAACCGCCAAAACGTGGATGAGAAGCTGATAGATGCTACTTGATTACAGTATTGATACCTTTGAAGTACTATTGATCTTCAAATATTCTAATAAATAGCGTACTTACCCATTTTTAATGAATTAGAGTCACGACAGCAAGTCTGATCACAAGTAAACGAGAGTCACTTTCGGCTTCCTATTCTCAATTCCCACGGGATGTTGTGACTCGCACGGCTTTCCCAGAAGCGTTCGCGGCGCAGCGAGCCCTGTGTGACCATTTGACTTCCCCAAACCGCGGTGCTGTCATCTGTGTGCCCCAGGCTTGAGAAGGTGCGTTACAAATAACACCCAGGTGTCCCCCAAAGAATCATCTAAGACTTAAAAAAAAAAAGATAAATGTGACTCCAGCTTTTTCTCAATAACTCTCAGAGATTTTTACCTCCATCGAGTCATTTTAAGGTCAAGGCCGACTGCAGAAAGAGAGGACTTGGTTGCATCAGGATAGAGGGAGTTGCAGCAAAGAACAAAAAGACGACGAGTCTTTTCGCCAACATCTAAAAAAGAACAGTTAAATCTTGCAGCCTACATTTTTTCCTTGGGTGGATCTTTCTCCAGGAGTTATTGACTAAAAAAGGTCCTGATGCTTAAATATTTAATGCATCCTTATTTGTGACGTGTAACCGTGAGAAATGAGTTGTGTGATGAATTCACCAGTTCATTCATCCTGTGATGAGAGAGGCATCAGACTTATCTTCTCGCCTTTGCTTTGCACAGGTCTGTCCAAATCCCTGGGCCTGATCGAGGGCTTCGGGGGTCGGGGGGAAGGAGGCCTTCCTGCCACGCTTTCCCCGCTTGAGGAGAATGACGCTAAATACCTGAGAGAGAAGTACGGCTACAACGCCTACCTCAGTGACAGAATCTCCCTGGATCGGACCACACCAGACCACCGGCCCAACAAGTGAGTTAACATCTGACAGAACGGCCCATCACGACTTTCATCCTTCCTCAGATACACTCTTCTCCCTTTCTTTAGTTCTTACAGCTGCCTTTAAAAGATGCTGTTTAATAATTCAGAACCAACTTCTCTTTTCATAAGCAGCGGTTGTCTTACGGCTCTGAATGCATGCAGACCTCTCTGTGAATAGATGTAGTTGGAACAGTTGGAAATGTGTTAAATAATTTAAATGTCACACCTGTTCTGAAGACTTCCTGCTACGTTTAGAGCTGCTCACTTTCTACCTGCTGAGGGTTGGAATATAGCCTGAGCCCAGGCTGAGCCCAGCTCTCGCCGGTGAACACCCAGAAACTCTAATATCCTAGGAGGAGGAACAAAGTGGTCCGATGCTCCACAACCAGAACAAAACCACCAGAGGTTTGACTGTCAGGTCTTCTCCAGCACCAGGTTTAGTTTCCACCGGGGTGCTGAGGAGGTTCATCCCCTGTAGCCGGGACACAGACATCATCGTGGTGGCCAGTCCTCGTGTGGCTGAGTGGCGTGTGAAGCGTGTCGGGGTGTGATGTCTCCAGGCGTAGCGGGGGGGAGATGGGAGACCTATTGGAGCAAACACTACATTTGCTTATTTTCACGAGCACAATAGGTGCACCAGTGTGAGAGTTAGCTAGCATAAACCCATCTAGTTTCATCTCCCCATGTCTCTCAGAGCAGGAAGGCTAGAAGAAGAGCGATCAGCTGATGGGCCGACTCCTATAATCACAATTACAGTCCCATTCACAATCATCATCATCAGAGCTGTGCTCGTGAAGTTCACACTCACAGTTGAAACTCTTCAGTCTCCTACACACACGCTGCTGTCACTGATTACATCATCTTCTCCATCTCCTCTCCTTGACTTCATTACTGAAGCATCTATTAGCTTCTTTCTGCTCCTTCATGTCGAGTCCTGCTTCAGCGTTCCCAGAGTTCAGTGTTGAAATGTTTATCCGGATCTGGTTCTGGTTCTGATGAGCACGTCTGGGTTGGATGATTTTAGATGTTGTTCAGAAAAGTGTCAAATTTATTTCTATAACCTTTAAAACAACAAAGTCTGTCGTCATCAGATTTTATTTATAAAGCGCTTCTCAAGCAAAAGTGTGACTCACGCACACACACACACACACACGCACACGCACACACACACACACACCCAATAACATCAGTAAAAATTATATTTTAATATTCGGCTGAGTCCAGATGAGCCGAGTTAGGCAAGGAAACACCATCAGAGGAGCCGTCTGCCCCGGCAGCATCAGGTCAGCCACAGCAACCAAGTCAGGGTGTGTCATTAGATCCCAGCTCCCTGCAGAGAATGCTGCTGTTGTGCCCTTAGGCAAGACACTGTGCACTGTGCGATTTTTGCCAAATCCCTCGTCCCGATTAGAATCGTGACCAAAAACGGTCAACGTCAGCGTGATTTGCATATCTGTGCACCACGCTGTGAACGTACTCCTGACCGGCTCTGCGACAGCTTTCTGAGCCGTCTCATGACCAAATCAGCCTCCGACAGTCTACAAGCACCGCTTGCAAACCTACGACTCCTGTCTGCAACCGACCAATGAAAACACACCTTTGGGATGCCGCAGCAGCAAGACTCCGCCTCTCTGAGCTGCGGTTTCAGTTTATGTTTAAAATGCGGATTATAAACTACGCACTAGTTCTTATTTCTGTTAATAGCCCAAGATAAACTGGAGTTATACTAAAATAATTAAACTACCTTTTTAGACCATCAGATAAATTGTGATTCTGTGATCTGTGTGAGCTGAGAGGAGACGAGCTCACAAACATAAAAATAAAACACAAAAACACGAGATCCCTTTGCTGTTGGTGGAAATCTCACATATTCAGCCTTTAAAGACGGTTCGGTTGCGTTTTGCTGCAGCGGGACAGGAAGCTGCACTCAGTCTCGGAGCGCAGCTGTGAGACAGAATTCACGGCAAAAGTTTAAATATTGCAGTGATCGGTGACAGATTGTTACTTGTCTGTAGTTTAGTGGGTTCTTGTGCATAAAGGAGAAGGATGAATGACCAGCCGACAGATCAGCTGTTTGGCTGAAAGACGGGGAAAAGGAGACCCGGAGTCTGACGCTAAAGCAAGGGTTTTCAAAACCAAGTTTCCTCTTTGAGGAAGATGAGCTGACACTAACCTTTGTTTTGGTTAGCGGTCTGCATAGGGACGTATGCTTCAGGAGGTGCGCTCATGACGCAGCGTGTCCTGCAGGAGAGACACGTCGTGTAATCTGCCTCACAGAAATCTTGCATCGTACAGCGTGCCACTTTTCTGTGCGACGGCCGAAAACCGCACAGTGTGATCCGGGCTTTAGGCTCTGCAGGAAGGGACCAGCAACGAATGCGATAGGATGGGTAACAAAAAATTATTTTAAGGAGTTTTCAAATCCAAACCAGAATTTTACTTCAGATGCAAATTTGTAGTCTTGTAGGAGAGAAGAAACCAGTTTGTTGTCTTTTTATTTAAATGTAGTTTTATTAGACTGATTACCTGGTCAGTAGAGATGCAGTTGGAGCTTTTACTGTCAGACTTTGCTTTCTTTCCGTTTTAAGCGCACAGCTCTGCTATGTATACCAGACAAAGATCTATTATGTATCTACCGTAATTTCTGGACTATAGAGCGCACCTCAATATAAGCCGCACCTACTAAGTTTTAAAAAAGCATGGAACTGTACTTATATAAGCCGCACCGGGCTAAAAGCTGCATATATCTTCTGAATTGAAAACGTAGTTTAACTGGACGTAACTGAACTGATCAGTATCGAACAAATGGAAAAGTTATTGATTAGTTCATTCATCTTCCTCTTGCGCACTAAAGCCATGAAAGTCCTCTTCTTCAGTGTCGGAGTTGAACAGCCTCAGAAGAGCTTCGTCACATACCTTTTCTGTGGCGATGTCCGTGTTGCTGTCATCATCCCCGGGTGAAGCTGGCTTGAATGAGATCTTCCCGCTGCCGTCTCCAGCGCCGAACCATGGATTCATTCATGCCAAGCTTACGTGCGGCAGCACTGTTTCCCTCCTTTACTGCCAGATCGATGGCCTTCAACTTAAATGCTTGAACATATGAACTCATACGTGTAGTTACCATGATGAGGGGGTATGGATTTGAAACACATTCTTCGTCGTGCCGGCTGCTTGCATGTGCTAAATTAAAATGAGCACTTTCTTCGATTTCCACTCCAATCCAATTTTATTTATACAGCGCATTTAAAAACAGCATGTCAGCTGACCAAAGCACTGCACGGAGTTAAACCTAAAAAGCCATTCTAAATACACATACATACACATTAAACACAGATAAAGACTGTCATAAAATAGAAACACCTAAAAACAATACCAATGTATAAAACAGCCAATAAAAGAGAAGTCAGTAAAACAGAAGAGAGTCACAGCATAAAAGACCGATTATTGACCAAAAGCCAAATTAAAAAAATGTGTCTTCAGGCTGGATTTAAACTGTGCCGGTGAAGAAGCCTGGCGTACCACCAGAGGGAGTGCGTTCCAGAGTCTGGGAGCAGCAAAGGCGAACGCACGCTCCCCACGAGCTTTATACTTCATTTTAGGGACCATGAGCAATAGATGATCAGCAGACCTTAGTGACCGGGGGTTGAGCAGCTCAGAGAGGTATAGGGGGGCTAGACCATTCAGGGCTTTGTAAGTAAAAGTTATAACTTTGTGTTGAATTCGAAATTGCACAGGAATCCAGTGTAGATCATCCAGAATGGGAGTGATGTGGCAGCGTTTATTTGTATAGGAGGGAAATCTGGCTGCAGCGTTCTGGACTTTCTGCAGACGATTTAGGACAGACACATTTACACCAATTAGAACCGAGTTGGAAAAATCGAGTCTGGAAGTGATAAATGCATGGATCACTGATTCTAAGTGTGGCCTCTTAAGAATGGGCTTTATTCGGGCAAGGCGACGAAGCTGGAAGAAGCAGGATCGAACATTAGCATTTACATGTGCACTCATTGTCAAGTCAACATCCAGTTTAACCCCAAGGCCGGTCACACATGAATTTCCACTTTTGACTTCCACCTGTTTCACTTTCTGCTAAAGCGCCCCCTGGCAGGTGAAGGAAAATCTTCAGTAAAGCCGCTCCTCATTATAAGCCGCACGGTTCAAAGCGTGGGAAAAAGTAGCGGCTTATAGTCCGGAAAATACGGTAATAATGAAACATATTTTAACCTAATTAACTGATTGAAGCTTCTCTGAAACCGTCATCTGTACTCTGAGACCCGCAAGAACTTTTCTGACTTTCACAGAATTAAAAATAAATCATTTACTTTAAAAAGAGACAATGTGCAATTCTAGTAAGTTCAGATGCAGAAAAGCTTTTGAGTTATCTACATTAGGAAAGATTAGATTTCAATTCTCAACCGAATAAATGTGTCAAAACGTTATATCAGGATCCAAAGGCAAGAAAAAGGATAAATGAGAGTCTCACCAACTAGACAGAGGTGCTGCCTCTCACCAACGTTATTTGCGTTATCCATTGAGCTTCTAGCTGAAGCGATAAGGCACCTAGATGAATTGAAGGGGGTTAAAAACATAAAAGTGGGTTTTTTGTTGACAACGTGTTAATATATCTAGAACAACCAGAAGTTGGCCTATCCACACTGATGGCACTTGGATTCATATGGATATCAGGGATAGCCTGGCAGCGCTCCATTGACGGTTCTCGGTCGTGGCGCGGGTTCTACCGTTGTCTTTCAAACGATCTCTGCATGCTATTGGACAATGAACAACGTGATGCACTCACCGCAACAGATGTCTGTAAACGATGCAGTCCACTGTTGAAGAAGGTGAACAACAGTGCTCAGCATAAATGAGTACACCCCTTTAAAAAGTGCTAATTTAATCTGCAGCTCAGTGAACAAAAGAATAACTTCCAGAATTTCCACAAGGCTGGCTTTTATTCAACACGTGTTTAACTCCATAACATGAAAATAAGGTTAATAAAATAACTTAGATCACAAAATCTTCAGTTTTACTAAAATTGGTTGAAGAAACAAAAACTACATCTAGTATTTTATATGACTACCATGAGTTTCAGGACTTCTAGGCATGGAATGAACAAGATGGCGACATATGGCAACATCTATCTGTTTCCATTCTTCAAGAAGAACGTCTCTTAGAGCCTGGATGCTGGATGGAGAGTGATGGTTCAGAATTCTCCACAGGTGTTGGATTGGGTTCAGATCCAGGACACATACTTGGTCATTCAACCACCTTCACCCTGTTCTTCTTCAGAAATGCAGCTGCAGCTTTAGATGTTTGTTCTGGAGTGGCACCGACATACTTTGGTGCTAGTCGCGACATCCGGAGAAGACTAACAGCTTATTTTTCACCAGAAAAGTTGTGAGATTGAGACCCTGGCTGCCGAAGTGCAATTAAGAAACCAAACAAGTTGCAGAGGTTATGAGCACGGTCGGGACAGAGGAGTAAAGCTGAGGAAAATAATCAAATAATCGATGCATCGGGACATGCGGACATAAACGATTCTGCATCGTAGAAGAGTACGCCATAATCGATTATAGTGGGATGTAGTTTAGTTTTTTTAACGCCGGCACCAGCGCCGCGTCCATACCTGTCAGAGTGAGCGTCCTCCACATTTACCAAGTATTGTTCCGCTTTAATGTGGTGCTGCAAGGCTGAGCGCTGGAGTTGTAACCTGAGACCGAATCAGCCCGTACGGTTCTGTTGGATTTTGGCCGTGAATTATGTTAATTGAGCGGGTTGTCACGCGGCGCGCTCCGCTCGCCCGATCAGTGACAGAGAGAGAGAGAGAGAGAGAGAGGATCGGAGGATGCTCCTCCAAACATGCGTTATTATTTTCATAATTTAATTATTATTTCTCGCACATCTTAAATATTATTGGCAGTTTAGAAATTGTTTTATGTTTGATTATTTTCTGCATCAAACAGAACTTGATTCCTGCTCCAACATTTCAGAAGTGAACCACCAGGATCAAATAAAATAACAAACTAAGTCAAACATTTCATTTGGTGTCATTTCTGACACACCAACTGCGGCATAAATATTTGACTCTAGAGCTGCTCAGAGACATTAAACACTCATATGAACCCGGTGTTGTGGGGGTAAATATGTTGCTTTTAAGCTTAATATATTACCTTTACCTATGACCAATAAGCTGTGATATTCTGTATGAATATAGAGTATCACTCTGATTGGTCTTTGAATGTTTAATCAGAAGATTTAGGATTTTTTGCCTTTTCAGGGATCAAACACACTTCGTATCAATTCAGACCAAGTCAGGTTTATCAAAGGTAAACAAATGAAAAACAATACAAGTTAAATAAGACGACTGTGATGGATGAATATAAGTGGATGGGATGTGATGTATGATGATTGAATGGTGTGTGTTTATCAGAACCTTGTATCTAGAAGAACTGAGTTCTGGGTGTGAAACGAATTTGGTCTGCATTAAACTATGAAGTTGGTTCTTATCAAAGCGGCACCAGACGCAATCTGGCTGTGTTCTACGTACCCCTAAGGAGACTCCCTTTCGGATCGGGGGGTGGGGGGGGGGGGGGGGGGGACGGGTGACCCCAAGGTACCGAAGTTCGTAGAAAAGACTGCAGTACGACCAGGTCAGTCCAGAGTCGTCTCCCGGATCACAACAGATACAGTAGATGAAATAGTTTGCATCTAGAACGGCTGTTTCTGAATAGCTGAAGGAAGCGTTTTGCTGTGTCAGCTGTAGCGTGGAGGCTCTTGACATCTTGCCAAGAGATGCGGTGGTTCGAGTTTTCCCCCGGTGACCAGTCCGGAGTTCTGCTCAAAACCTGACTGAATCACTCAGCAAGTGTCTGTTTTAATATTCCCATATTATGATTACCTGGCCAATCGGGACGTGCCATGTTAAGAGGTGTTAACAAACAACCCTCAGAACATCACGCCTTCTTTCAGATGGAAGGTTCTCTGATTTGTGGGTAAGGTCATGTCTATGTGCGTGAAATTACTTTAACTTCATCATCCCGCCATGTGTGTAAGTGTAAGGCTGATTAGCTTGTCAAGTCACACGCGCTGGTTATCAGACAGATGGATCAGTGCAGGACAAAATTCATTTCAACCTCAACTTAGGCACAGATTAATCAAAACATTTCATTCAACCACATTGTTCATTTCATTTCATGATTAATTAACTCATATGAGCTGAAAATGTTCACTTTCATTCAGAGGCAGGAGGAATCCTGTAGAAGTGATAAGACCTTGAAACGGGAACAGGTTGTAGACAACATGTTATCGTGTGTTCAGAGCTGCAGAATCTTCCGGCTTGTTGGGAGATAGAATTTAAAATCCACCTTAGAGAATGGAATCATGTCTGTAGGTGACCGGAGGGTCAATATGTCGGTGAAAACTGACCGTTGCTGGACGTTACACCAATACGTATATTATTATTACATTATGGGTCCTGTAGGTTTTCAGTATTTTTTCAGATTTGTGAGTTTTTGCAAAGCGTGTTTTTCTCAGCCTGAGGCGTGGTGTTGAACGAGGAAACAGATGTTTCTACTTTGTTAAATCGTCTTAAATGTTTAAAATGTTTTGTCCTGACCTGTTGTGGATGGAGAGCTTTTCAGGGATGGCAGGTTGTGTCGATTAGTTTTTGATAAAATAAATAAATAAATAAAAAGCAATTATCTGACATCTTCTATTTATCGATGAAAATAAATCTATATGAAATAATTGTGATGCATCGGGATTTCGAATCGAATCGAATCATTGACCCAATAATCGTAATTGAATCGGGAGACAAGTGAAGATGCACAGCTCTACAGAGGTTCCTGTCAGGAATAAATAAAAACTTTTATCAGATGAATCGTAGAGTAACAGGTTGTCATTTACAATTTACATTTAAGGAGTCGATCTGGATGGAGTTGGTTTTATTTGGGAATGTCCGAATGCAGCCTCAGCTTTCATTACGGTCAAGCTTAGCTGTTAAAGAGCATCATCCAGTCTCGTGGTTTTTGATGAAAATATTGGATTTATTGTATATCCATCCATTCTCATCCGCTTATCTGGCGTCGGGTCGCGGGGGCAGCAGCCCAAGCAGGGAGGCCCAGACTTCCCTCTCCCCAGCTACCTGGGCCAGCTCCTCCAGGGGAATCCCAAGGTGTTCCCTGGCCAGGTGAGAGACATAGTCCCTCCACCGTGTCCTGGGTCTACCTTTAGGTCTCTTTCCGATTGGCCGGGGTGATAAATCGATTGAATAAATTAATTTGGAAAAAATCGTAAATCCAATTAGAAATAATAAAATCGGGAGATTTTGTTTTTAGGCCGTATCGCCCAGCTCTACTTTACGGTTGGACGTGCCCAGAAAACCTCACCAGGGAGGCGTCCAGGAGGCATCCTAACCAGATGCTTGAGCCACCGCAACTGGTTCCTCTTGATGTAGAGGAGCAGCAGATCTACTCTGAGTCCCTCCCGGATGACCTGGGAGAGCCTAGACTACCCTGCTGAGAAAACTCATTTCGGCCGCTGGAATCTGCGATCTTGTTCTTTAGGTCACTACCCAAAGGTCAGGGTAGGAACGTAGATTAGCTTATTGGATGAAATGTTTCAGCTCCCACAGGAAACAAGATTATTAATTCTGTAATTTAGGTTGACATTTCTTCCTTCTCATGAGCAAAACCGATCCAAAGCCTTGTTAGTTTAAAAACCAGCAACTAACAGAGAAACGTGGAGTTTGGTGTAAAATAATTTTAAAAATTCTGGTGATGAAACAGAAGGCATCAGCTTTATTCTCTCTGAGGAAGATTGGTGCAGAATGACTTATTTGTTTTTCCTGCAGATGCAGAAAAGCCAGCTACCCGAGAGACCTCCCCCAGATCTCCCTCATCTTCATCTTTGTCAACGAGGCTCTTTCAGTGATCCTGCGATCCGTCCACTCAGCTGTCAATCACACGCCGGCTCACCTGCTGAAGGAGATCATCCTGGTGGACGACAACAGCGACGACGGTCAGTGAGACGGACGCTGTTGTCTTAAAAACCCTGTGAGAGAAATACAAACACGTTGTTTCTTGCCGATTGTGAACTTTAAAGCTTCTCTAGAGTCAGGAGAAGTCAAGAATACCAATCCTAATTTGAGATATTCTGGGAACCACCAGTAGACCTGCGGTCTGAGAGCGAAGTGCTCGGTTAGGAACGTATGGAACAATCAGGTCACTGATGTATGATGGAGCTTGATTATTAAGAGCTTTGTATGTGAGAAGAAGGATCTTAAAATCTGTTCGCAGCCAGTGTAGGGAGGCTAAGACAGGCAAGTGGGTGGAGCTGAACCACGGTCAGCCCCGCCCACTGACTTATTCAGCTGTGCTCCTCTGTGAGAGCGGGGGAGGGGGGTTGCAGACGTTCCGCTGCTGTTTCTCACCAGTGTCAGCTGATGGAGGGCTCTAGTCTCGTTGAGCCGTTCGTGTCAGCGGACACGATAGGGTCGATGAGGGGGGTGGGGCATGACGCTTGTAAAGCGCTGGGGGAAACCCTGCTGTTGATAAACTAGAGTGTGTGAAGGCTGTACCAACTCCAGCCTGTCTGGACATCGAGTCCACGGGTTTCCAGATCAGAGGAACGACGCCTCTATCCTAGGACTGGGCGATATGGCCTAAAACCAATATCACGATATGTTGAGGATTTCACCTCGATAATGATAGACGATAACTAAACAAAATGTGTCCACTAGATGGGGCTGTCGCATGTATTACGTTAAGTTAAATTTTTACGTGGCTCAAGGTGGTTCAGCTTCCCAAAAGGACATAAATGTTGCCAACCTGCACACACCTTTTCATTTTTTTATTATCAAATTTATTGACATGGGAAAATGATCCCAATAAGAGTCCGAAACTTCGATACCGCCCAGCCTTACTCCTATCTCCGTGCCGGAGGGTGCTTTGTGCAGCTGAAAAGACGGACCTCTGCAGCCCATATGGGTCGGTACCGGGTCAGGGAGGTCCGCATAGGGCTCCGGAGACCCGTGGAGGGGTTTAAAAATTAAATGTGGATTTCTAGGATTCAGGTCACCACCAGAACCAGGTCAGAACCGACCGCGGCTCAGCAGGCCAATTGAGCTGGTTTCTGGGTCAGAACCAGATCAGAAAAGCCGCCTGCACCACCAGGAGAGGATCATGTGCAGCTTTTAAGAATACCAGCTAGACTGGCTCGCTGGTGTCTGGGTCAGATCCAGTCCACAGAAGCCCGCATGTGCTCCAGAACCGGATGACAGACGTCTCTCTCCCTCTCTCTAAGCTAAACTAGGTGAGGTGAGCGGATATTAACGAGTATGAGACCGCTGACAGGCGCTCATTAGTATTAATATTATATTAACTGAGCGATACTACTTTAACTGTCTGGTACATGATAGTAATCTGTACTATATTATGATGCTAGCACACAACCTCTCCTCTTTGGCCGATGGTTTCTCCCTCTGGTTGATCTCTGCTCTCTGGGGCGAGCAGCAAACTCAGAACTTTAAGGTTCTGGTCCATCAGAAGTACAATTTAAAGCTTCCTCTGTGTCAGAGCCACAGTAGAGTCCAGACTTTCTCTGGATTAAGCTAACAGGACTCCCTCAGCTGTTTCTCTAAACATCGGCTCATGGGAGTCGCTAACCCGCGGTTTGCTCTTTAAGGTTTGTTTTGCCCTCTGCGGACGCCGGTTCGACTCCAGGTGGGGTTGGCAGTGATTTATTTAGCCAACTGAAACATATTTTATTTAATTATATTTTAGTTTGATTGAGGGCAGTGGTGCAGTGGTTAGCGCTGCTGCCTTGCAGCAAGGTCCTGGGTTCAAATCCTGACCTGGGGGGTTTTTGCAAGGAGTTAGCATGTTCTCCCTGTGCATGCGTGGGTTCTCTCCGGGTACTCCAGCTTCCTCCCACAGTCCAAAAACATGACTGTCAGGTTCATTGGTCTCTCTAAATTGTCCTTAGGTGTGTGTGCTTGGTTGTTTGTCCTGTGTCTCTGGGTTGCCTTGCGATGGACTGGCTCTCTGTCCAGGGTGCCCCCGTGACCCTGCAAAGATAAGGCGGTAAAGAAAGTGGATGGACCCCGGTGAGGGACAAATAGAGTGTAATCCTGACTAGAGAATGCATGAGATGAACAAATATTTACAATTTACATAAGAATTGGATTTTTTTTGTTTTCCAAGATAACGTAAAGTTTATTAGAGCATCAGGCCAGACTTCTCCATGGAAGAAAAAACAACAGAAAAGATCATTTGGACTAAGGGATGAATAGCTGGACTGTTCTTTCTCCATGGCTGGAACCTGCTTGCTCCTGACAAACCTTTTAGTCCTTCTCCTGTCTTACAAACATCACAGAGGGGGCGGGGCTTTGCCTCACTCCTGGAGACAGAGAAATAACACAGGTGCGGCACGGCGCTGCCCATTCCTTAATTTCTATCTTTGAGCAGCTTCTTCTGTGCCTGCCAGGACCTCATCTTACTTGTTATTACCCAGCTTCCCTTTTTCAGTGTCTAAGAGGAAGTATTGATCCACCACATTTTCATCAAACCCCTCAATGTGGCGTCAGACTCCAGCTGCGAGTCTCACTCCTTTCTTCCAGCTAAAAAACAGCTGAGCTGCTGGGCATTCGTCATTATCATCCTCATTTATACCTAAAAAACACTCAACTACATATGAATAATCTGTTTGTCACAGATCGCTCCGGTGTCTAAAGTTTGTCGTCAGTGTGGGTCTCACAGCTTACTGCGCTCCGTGGCGGCTCATCGTGGTTTTCACAAGTTCTCTGATTGTCTAAAAAAACAAAAAGGGTGTTTCTTAAGTTTAGAATAACTGTGCTTTTACTAGTCCTATTAACAAAACGTAAAAACTGGAGTGTCGTTTATAATCTCCTTTTTAAATCCAATTTAGAAACGTAACTCGGGGAGGCGGAGTCTTGCTTCTACGGCGTCCCAAATCAGACCTGTTCAAAAGACGCAGATCCGCGACCGTAGACCCCAGAGGGTTCAGCTTCCCCAGTTCGGTTCCACCATGAGAAACCTGTGCCTGACAAGTGTTGCACTGAGCCAAACTGTCTCTTTAGGACTTCAACGAAAAATATGTAGCGTAGTTAATCTACATAACTATGATTTAACGTTGTTTATCAGCTTTGCTAAATCCTGAGAAAGATCAAACAAATTAGCATATGAACTTATATTTACATAGATATCCACAGATATTTATACAATCGATAGAAGTTCATACACCAACTGGCTTGGTCTATATTTAACCCAAAGATTAATATTTAATTTAAGGGATTTAAATTAATAGCAAAAGTTTATTTATTAAATCAGAAGATTTAGAGATTTTTGCTCGTTCAGCGACCAAATATACACAACTCTGTGTTTCATTTCAAAGAAGAGTCAGGTTTAAAAAGTTAAGAATATATTACTAACACTTTAAAGATGACAATTTAAAAGACAATTAATAAATGACCATTTATAACAGCTTTGATATTAAAACTTGGTATTAAAAGTAATCTGTGTCTGGATGAGAACTAAAATGAGATGTGTGTGTTTGGATGTGTGAATGTAGTCTCAGAAGGTTCCTATCAGAGAGAGAAATCGCGTTCTGGGTGAGAGAGTTGTTTTGCAGCTAACTAGAGTATTTCTTAAGGGGAACAGCATACAGATGCAATCTGTGTTCTACCTCACCGTTCAGACGACCCTCTGTGTGGATCCGGAGGTCAAGGGAGGATGTTGTCAGCCTCTGGGTACTCGTTCCGGTAGGGAAGACCCGAGTGGTACCGACTCTCTGGTCCAAGAGTTGCCGCAGGCACACAGGTGTTGAGTTTGCGTCTTAAATTAACTCTGAAGGAGTTTGCGTCAGCTGGTTGCAGGTGGCGTTTATTGGAGCAATTCTATCGGTGTGACAGAACAGCTTAGTGGAGGCTTCGAGCGGCCGTCTCGATCCTCTGGGACTCTCGTGCCACGGAGAGATTTTGGTGAGCTTCGAAACTGACCTTGAACTGAGGAGTTTTGGTTTTATTACCACATGGCCGACATTGTTCCTTGCAACTTTGCTAGCACACACTGTTCTGATCATGTGGACTTTGCATGCTGGATCTGGGCGCTGATGTATAGAAATCCTGGAATGGAATTTAAAGCAGAACATACTGCTAATATCGGAGATTTTTAATGCAGTCCTATATCATCCGATACAGTTTTCTTGGGCCGATATCCAATATCAATATTGGAACAGGACATCCCAAAATGACTTTACCAATTGGGAGCATATATATAGTAAAAAGAATTGGTCCAAGCACTGAACCCTGTGGTACTCCACAAGTAACCATGGAGTGTGAAGAAGATTTGTCATGTACATTTACAAAATAAAATCTATCAGACAGGTAGGATTGAAACCAGCCTAGCACTGTTCCTTTGATCCCTACAACATGTTCAAGTCTTTCTACAAGAACATTGTGATCAACTGTGTCAAAGGCAGCACTGAGATCTAACACACACATATGTTGAATGTAGAAGCTGCTAGGACATGACGTGGGTTCTTGGGTGGTCTGAAGAGACGCTGATGCTTTGGTGACTGATGGTGTCAAAGTTTCTGCCTGGCAGATAGAGACACAGGGGAGTCACGGGAGACATGTCCCTGTCTTATCGGGCTTGGCTGCCAAACCGAGCTTTGTGAGATGAAGGAGAAAAGAGGGGAGGAGTAGAAGAAAAGAAACGAGGCGGGAGATGGATGGATATACATGCCAGAAATGAGTTGGAGGAATGGGATAAGACTGGAGGATCGGGAAAGGTCAAAGAGAGAAGAGGAAAGATGAAGAAGCACCAAATAATGAAGAGGCTGAGAGAACAAACCAGGCTATTGGAGAAAGGGGGGGGGGGGGGGGGGGGGAGACGGAGAGGTCCTGAGATAAATGAGGTCGGACAGACTAGAGGAGAGGGAATAATGCATATCCGAAAGAAATGGAAGGAGTAATCTACCAGAACGAAAAGCAGAGACGGGTGTGAAGAAAGGGGGAATAAAGACCCGAGACCATCAAAGCTTTGAAGGTAAAGGTGAGAGCTATGTCATCGATGTGTTTCCTACAGCAACGGAGGTCCAAACCAAGCCAGAACAAAATGTTTCCTGTTTGAAGGTTTTTAGCTGAGCTAAAATTCACTCATAAAAGCAACTAGTTTTGGGTCTGGATATGGCGGGGTTAACGTTTCTGAGGTAATTAATAGAAACAAACATGAAGAATAGAATAGAATAGAATAGAATAGAATAGAATAGAATAGACTATTGGTTCCACAGTGGGACATCAACTTGTTACAGCAGCACCAACACTTGAATAAACTAATCACACAGAACATACCCGATTACTGCTGCTGATCCTCTCAGATTCAACTGAAGTAAAACAGTCAATGCTTGTGATTGTGGGAAAAGTCTAAAAGAAATTACACAAAACATCCTTAAAGGCATATTTGGCAGTTTGCTTGCTTTTTTCTTTCTTCTTCCGGCTCTCGGAGGGTGCAGACGCTTCTTTTCCTCCTCTCCTCCATATCTTATCCTCAACGCCTTTGTCTGTCTCTGTGTGCTGGGTGCACGGCTGCTTCTGCATTTTTTTCTGGAAACTGAAATTCACTAAAATGGATCTCGTTAGCTGGTCTCTCAACGTGATTGATAAAAAAAATTTCAACGATGAGAACGGGAGAAGGGACTCCCGGATGTCCCACCGGGACAGACCCAGTTGGACACATCATGGACTCCTGGAAACAGTGGAACTTGATTTGTTTATCTCAGCTGTCTGTGGAGGACTCTGAAGACGTGTGGATATTCGTGGTGTTGGTGTCGGGTTTCCTGCTTATCAGCCTTGGAGGCTACCTGGCTTGCCGGAAAATTAATGAGCTGTCGAGGAATATTGGCCTGCTCCCAGAGCTCAGAGATGGTTTGCACCGCGCTGTGAATTCACAGACTCACATAAATGTCAAGATGAATCGTAAGCTTGGGACTTTGGTGGAGATTCATTTTTTGGCACAGAAGATGGATGCCATCAAGGAGAGAGTGGACGAATCAGCACGGATTGGGATAGATTAATGTCCATTATTGGGATTTTGAGAGGTTGAGGACCAACAAACTGTAAGACAGAGAGGAAATTATCTCCGTCTGGCCCCAAAACAATTTCTAGTCGGAATCTGGCGCCCTTGAGCCTGCAAGGCTACAACGAAAACTCCCCCCTCACAAGATATGTGGAATGTGCCGTCGCTATGGCAACTCAACTCTCTCCTTTCCCAGCCTGGGCGGGACTGCAGGAAGGCCGCTGAAGCATTCCAGGGTCACTGCAACCCTCCAACCCTCAATGCTCCTCCCCCTATCCACACTGAGGTGACATGCGCTGCTTATCGTGGCTGCAGGAACTGAAGTGGGGATAGTCCCAACCCACCACCCCACCTAGTGGACACTTATGTTGTGTTGTCTGAAGTCTGTTGCATATCTGTCTGAGGTGTTTTTTTGCAGAGCAAAGCTGCCCTCCTGGTGGAGGGTAACTCTGAAGTGCCTTTTTCCCTCCACCTGAACCAATCCTCATGTAACCCTCTGATCTCTATTAAGGTAGCGCGACTCAGGGTTGTGAATGACCACAGTCACCAGTTCTTGTCACGTGTCTTGCCCATGAATGTCTCATCTCTGAATTGTGTGTACTGAAACTCTAATATCACTCTAGAATTAATAAAGTATCTTTGATTTGATTTGATTTAGCACCCCCTAGTGTCCGTTATTAATTCTCTGTGGTTAAACCGAAAATGAAACCATCTCCTCGCTGTGCGTTTGTCTTTTTAACACCTTAGTCTAACAGCTGAGAAGTCTTCCCTTCATTAGTGTCTACAGGAGGGATTCATCACTAAACGAAACAAATCAGCTGTGTTCATCAATCAATCAAAGCTTTATTTATAAAGCGCCTTCCGCAACCCTGTCAGGAAGCCCAAAGCGCTGAACATGGTACAGTTAAGTAAATATATTGAATAAATCAACAATAAAAGAAATTCAAATTACAAAATACAAATTACAAGATAGATGAAGCAGTCCGGTAAAGGAGAAATGTGTGAAACACATTTGGATTGAGTGGATGGATTGAGTGTACCAATGAAAACTGTGGAATGGATTCAACATAAAAGAGGGCCAAAATCAAACATGTTCCAGAAACGCCAAGCGGAGGAGGTGCGTTTTTAGGTGATTCTTAAAGACTGGCAGAGAGGGGGACAGCCTAACTGAGGGTGGCAACTGGTTCCATAGTGACGGTGCTAGGACTGAGAAAGCCCGGTCCCCACGGGTACGACACCTAGAACGAGGGACAGCGAGCAGGCCTTGGTCAGAGGAGCGCAGAGCGCGTGATGGGGAATGTCTGTTCAGGAGAGTGGCCAGATAGGGGGGAGCACCACCCTGGAAGAAATGATAAACAAAGACGAGGATTTTGAATTGTGAGCGATGATCTAAAACATGCGGGAAATGTGCTGGAAGCAGTCTGCAGCGCCGGGTAGGTCAGCTAAATGTTTACTAAGTCACTTCATCAACCGTGTAAAAGGTCATTTTAGCACATGCGGCTCAATAAAATGATTTAAAACATGAAAAAGTTGCAAAGTTTGCCTTTAAAATGATGCGTGGATGTGTGCTGATGGTTTCTGACGAGATTACAGAAATGAACACACACACACACACACACACACACACACACACACACACACACACACACACACACACACACACACACACACACACACACCTTCTGCTCTTGGTTGACGATTGGCCATCAGCCATCCATCATAGAGGGAAGACATTGCAGCTGCTCAGAGGGCAGCGCTGACAAACACTCACCCCTCTCATGGTTTTGTGTGTGTGTGTGTGTGTGTGTGTGTGTGTGTGTGTGTGTGTGTGTGTGTCAAAGAGAAAACAGCATGGAAACTAACTTTTGATCAAGAGAGAGCGAGAAATATAGAAATAAGAGAGATCTGTTTTCCTACCTCCTGAGCTTCTGCTGTCCCAGTAGGTAGAGGTAGAGCGGGTTGTCCAGTAAGGTTGTAGGTTTGATCCCGCTCCCACCAGAGAATGCTGTTGTGTCCTTGGGCACGACATAAGGCCTCGCCTCCGCCACCAGTGTGTGTGAGTGAGTGAGAGTGTGTGTGTGTGTGTGCGTGCGTGCGGGGGGTCTTGTTCCCTGTGAAAACGAAGCAGTACAAGTGATAATGCTGCAGGATTTAATAATAATAATAATAATAATAATACATTTTATTTCAAAGCGCCTTTCAGGACACCCAAGGTCACTTTACACAAAACACGTAATAAAATACAATAAAACAATAATAAAACCCAAAGAAGAAAAAACAGAGAGAAACATTTCAATAAAATCAGAGGTTGTAGGCAGATTTAAACATATGTGTTTTGAGTTTTGATTGGAAAAGGGTAAAACTGTCGATGTTCCTGATGTCTGGGGGAAGTGAGTTCCAGAGTCGAGGAGCAGAGCGGCTGAAAGCTCTGCTCCCCATGGTAGCGAGACGGGCAGAAGGAACCGCAAGATGGATGGAAGAAGAAGATCTGAGTGAACGGGACGGGGTGTGAATACTTATAAGGTCTGAGATATATGGAGGAGAGAGGTTGTGGATTGCTTTGAAGGTATGGAGGAGAATTTTGAAGATGGGCCTGAATTTAACTGGGAGCCAGTGGAGCTGCTGGAGAACCGGCGTGATGTGGTGAAAGGAAGGGGTTCTGGTGATAATACGGGCTGCTGAATTCTGGACCAGTTGCAGTTTATGAAGGAGTTTGTTGGGGAGACCATAAAGAAGTGAATTGCAATAGTCGAGACGGGAGGTGACGAGGCTGTGGACGAGAATGGCGGCAGTGTGAGGGGTCAGTGAGGGACGAAGACGGTTTATGGAACGTAGATGGAAGTATGCTGACCGAATTAAGTTATTAATGTGAGCCTGAAAAGAAAGTGAGCTGTCGAGGATGACACCCAGACTCTTGACATGAGGGGAGGGGGAGACTATGGCGCTGTCAATAGTTAAAGAAAAGCTGTCAGATGTTGAGAGGGTGGAGTTAGTGCCAACTAGAAGAAGTTCAGTTTTATTGCCGTTGAGTTTGAGGAAATTAGAGGTGAACCATGATTTGATTTCAGAGAGGCAGAGTGTAAGGGAGGATGGTGGGAGAGTTGAGTTGGGCTTACTGGAAATGTAGAGCTGGGTGTCATCTGCAAAGCAGTGAAACTGGATATTGAATTTGCGGAAGATTTTGCCGATAGGGAGGAGATATACTATGAAGAGGAGGGGCCCCAGGACAGAGCCCTGGGGCACACCTGACTTGACTGGGGTGGGTTCTGAGGTAAAGGATTTTAACTGGATGAACTGAGTGCGGCCAGTAAGGTAAGATTGAAACCAGCGGAGGGGGGTGTGAGTGATGCCTAAGGAATAGAGTCTATTAAGGAGGATGGGATGAGAAATGGTGTCAAAGGCCGCACTCAGATCGAGGAGAATAAGAATAGAGATTAAACCAGAATCAGCAGCAATGAGTAGGTCGTTAGTGATCTTGATGAGAGCTGTTTCTGTGCTGTGGTGGGGACGGAAGCCAGACTGAAACTGTTCATAAAGGTTATTGCGGGTGAGATGTGAATGGAGCTGAGATGCAACAGTTTTCTCAAGGACTTTGGAAATGAAGGGAAGATGGGAAATGGGACGGAGGTTATTGAAATCATTGGGATCTAAACCAGGTTTTTTTAGAATAGGGCTGACTGAAGCGGATTTGAATAGGGATGGGACCGTACCAGAGGATAGTGAGGAATGAATAATGGCTGTTATAAAAGGGAGCAGAGAAGAAAGGCAGGATTTAACTAAAACAGTTGGAATAGGGTCCAGTTGACAGGTGGAAGGTTTGGATTTGGTGATGTAATCTAATATTTCTGAGGGATGGGGAAGTTCAAAGGAGGAGAACGGAATGGTGGGTTCAAATAAATCAGGAGAGGGAGGGGAGGAATGAGGTAAAGAGAGATGGATTCTATTGACCTTCTCATTAAAAAACTGAAGGAGAGAGTTACAGGTTTCTGAAGAGTAAAGATGGATGGGTAAGGAGTCGGGAGGCTGAAAAATGCTGTTCATGATGGAAAATAATGTTTTAGTGTTGCTGGAGTTGGACGAGATGAGACCGGAGTAATACTGAGATTTGGCATGGGAGATGGAGTCCTTGTAGAGAGAAATCTGAGCAGAATATAAGTCTTTATGGATGGTGAGACCGGTTTTCTTGTAGAGTCTTTCAAGCCTCCGGTTAGTAGCTTTCAAGGAGCGAAGGGCAGGGGTGAACCATGGAGCAGACCGAGTAAAATATACAGAGCGGGATTTGATGGGAGCAAATGAATTAAGGATAGAAACCAGACCGATTTCATACTGTTATCCTTCTCAGCAGCAGCACTGCAGGAGCTCTCCATGTCCAGCATGTGTGTAAGCCAGGTCCTTAGTCAACTTAAAGTTGCGCACATTTTTCTGCTAAGTTTTCTTTCATAAATCCCAAAGTTTGCGTGGAAAGTTGCTTATGCAGTTTTCCCACCCCGTTTTGTGCGTAAGCAAGCTTGATGAATGAGGCGCCTGGTCATAAATGATGCATGCTATAGAGAAGTATACAGGAAGTGAGGCGATAGTGCAAGTGCAGGCGATCACTGATAACATTTAGTCCTGGTTGGATTTTGGTGCTTCTGCAGTGACAGAAAAGCTGAATAAAAACGTAGGACCTGATGTTCATACTGGCTTAATATAGAAATGAGGGAAATGTAAGAATGAGACTGAAGTGTACAGAAGCCCTTCAGCAAGTCAACTCGGATTTCTAATCTCTAGAATTAGGGTTGTCACGGTATGAAAATTTAACCTCACGGTCATTGTGACCAAAATTATCACGGTTTTCAGTATTATCGCGGTATTTTTTAAACGGTGTTGCATATGTTCAGAAAGCATTGATAGTCCTGTTCTACACAAACTGAAATAGTTCTGAAAAGGTTTAACAGTGTTTATTAAACCTAAAATAACACAAAGCCTTAGCAAAAGTGCAACTTTTCACAAGTAAAGGAACAAATAGCTTCTTTTTCTGGAACATGTTACAGTAGTCAGTGCAGGTTTAAATGATACAAATCCAAACATTCAAAACATAAACAATATGTAAACAAATCAAAGAAACACCACTTGTTTTCTCATATACTTGTTTTCTTCATTATCAAAATGAAAATCTAAAACTCCAGTCCACACTTGACTTGAGCGCTGTACAAGTCAACCTTAAAAAATATGTATTTAAAATAAATATCCACTTTAAACAAATTACTAAAATAACTACTACACTATGTAATCAAATCCAAATGTTCAAGTATAAATGGCATTGAATAAGTAAACAAATCCATGACAAGGAACTAATTGTATATTTCTCTTCATCATCAACAAATAAGATGCTTCATCCAGCAACAGGGTGTCCGTGACACGGTTTAAATGCTGCCAGAGGACGCTGCGGCTGCAGTCTATAGTGACTCGTTGCATTCTCCCTCAACCAAAAGTCCTCACGTCATGCATTTCAGCTAAAATGCTAATGTTATCTTACCTTGCACTGGCTGTGGAGACGTGGGTGATCGTCACGCAGATGTGCCATGAGATTTGAAGTGTTGCTGCCTTCTGCAGACACTTGTTTCCTGCACGTTCTGCAAACGGGATAGCCGTCTTCTATTAACTGTCCCTCAGCATTTTTCAGAAATCCCAAATATACCCATACTTCCGATTTAGTCTTCTTTGAGGGCTGATGGATGTCCTGGGCGCTGCCGTCGCCTCCTTCGGCCGTTATTTCAGCTTCAAAGTTTTGGTGCCGTTGCAAATTAAAAAGTGCGTGTGCGCGCAGCGGGAACTTCAGCTGAAGCGACGGTGGCTGGTAAGGGTCATCGCGCCGAAACCGCGGCCACGGTAAACCCACCGAGATAATATAGTTTTTTAAAAACTGGACGGTTATTTTTATTGTCAACTTTTTTACCGGGGTTTACCGCTATACCGGTTACCGTGACAACCCTATCTAGAATGCTGTTGTGTCCTTGGGCACGACACAAGGCCTCGCCTCCGCCACCAGCGTGTGAGTGAGGCCCTGTCCACACGTAGCCGGGGATCTGCCAAATCGTAGATATTTTTCTACGTTTTGGCCTGTCATCCACACGAAAACGGATCTTTTTAAAAACTCCGGCCAAAGTGAAGATCTGCGTTTTCTCCGTTTTGGGTGTCTGCGTGTGGACAGACAAAACCGGAGTTTTAAGGTCCGCAACGTCACTTTCCACGACAACAAAATGCTGACATCACGTGTGCGACCTGTGTTTACACTAGCCAACAGCATGGACGCCCTCAGAGCTGCGCTCGCTTTATCAATTGTCCAAGCGCTTTTTGCTTGTTTGTTTTTGCAAGCGGAATTACTGCTCCTTGCGGAAGACCACAGACGAAGGACGAGGTTAAGAACGGGGGAAGTACTGCCGCCTACAGGTCTGGCATGTCCTTAACAACGTATTTATCCGGGTACGTGTGGACAGAGTTTATTTTAAAACGAGGTGGTGTGGATGCAAGTTTTTGGAGGGGCGGATATTCGTTTAAAAAAAAAACGGCTACGTGTGGACTAGGCCTGTGTGTGTGTGTGTGTGTGTGTGTGTGTGTGTGTGTGTGTGTGTGTGTGTGTGTGTGTGTGTGTGTGATAGGGAGGAAGAACAGAGGGTGTGTTTGTGTCCGGAGGGAAAAGGCTGATGAGTTGGTGCACAGATCAAAGATGGAGCGGTTGTTGACGCCCAGACTCCCTTTGGTGTTGTTTAAATCCTGCTGGAGCTTTAAAAAGCACCGCAGGGTGCCATGAATCTCATCGGTGTCACGTGTGACCCCGCTCCCTGTGTTTGTTTTTATTAATGTTTATATAAAAATGGATCACTGTGAGGGGAACTTGTCTCGATCGTGTTTCTGCCACCGCTGGTGTTTCATAGCTTCCTGTGGCAACGGTGATTCGTGTTCTCGTGTGTTTGCCTTTCCCAAGTGAGTGTTGTTGGAGAGCCTTAAGATCCATTTCTGAACAGTACCGGTTCTGACTCAATCAGCCAGTTTGTGTGTGTGTTGGACTTCCTCTGCTGGAGAGAGCCTAATGTCCTGAATCTCCTTAACACATGCGCTGATTTCCTTGAATTCAAGGACAGCTGAATGTGTGTGTGTGTGTGAGTTAACCGGCCAGAAGTCTGACGAGGTCAGCCGTAGACCCAAAGCCGAGCCCAAGTTAGGACTGCCGTAGTGACACAGAGTCACCTCATCCTGAATCTGTGTTCATTTACTCGATGAAATAGACATAAATCTATTTTTCAGACAAATGAATTTTTGGGGACTAAAGTGAAATAAAACGGAAATTGACAGAAACAAAAATTTTATCAGAAAACGGAAAAGATGGGCAGGAACAAGGAGGAAATGGGAAAGGCGGGAATAGACTAGAAAAGGACCAATCAGAGTCCAAGAAGCTCCCGTTAACCAGACAGCATACAACGTTATGTCTGCAGGAGAAAATGTCCGCCCCGCCCGCGGCTGGGAGTGAAGGCAGCAGCTGTGAGCGTATGAATGCTTGTGCTTGGTGAGTGGGTTAGGGTTAGGTTATAGAAGGGTTACGGTGTTGGGCGGGAGAGGTCGAGAGCAGACTGTTGCTGCTTTGGTTACCTTCTAATGCTTGGATGGTACGAAATAAGACACGACAACCCGAACCTGCTGATGTATTTCACACCTCTGCTCGTCTCGTCACCCTTTACACGTTCCACTAGTCTTTGAGTTTTAAAATAACACGTTAGTCGAGTTTTTCTGTGCCGGTGTGGCTGTGAAATAGGTGTCAAGTTGATGTATACATGGCCTTAAAAATGTCTTTAAAAGACTTGAATTTCTCTTGAAGAGACCTAAAGGGACCTTGCCAGACCGTCACCGTGTATTTTACAAATAAACAACCAGAATACCCCGGTTTTTATGGAGATGGAAGATAAATCCAAAGAGCTGATTGGTTGTTATCGCTACAGCATTGTACTGTTAGATAAACGAGACCGTAGGTTAAATGTAGACGTGACACGTGTCTGGGGTCACTCCTGAGAACTGCTGCCCCGTGGTTGCATTCGTTCCTTTCTGGGATGGATTAATGCAAAATTATATTTCTATGTATGCTCATTTATCTTTTATTATTTTAATATCCTCCTTGAACCGTCACCTTATCGTGGTGGAGGAGTTTGAGTGCCCTAATGATCCTAGGAACTATGTTGTCTGGGGCACTTAGTGCCCCTGGTAGGGTCTCCCATGACAAATTGGTCTTAGGTGAAGGGTGAGACAAAGAACGGTTCGAAGGATCTTTCATGGCGGTTAAAACAAAGAGTCGGAGTACCCGGCCCGGAGGGTTACCGGGGTCCCACTCTGGAGCCAGGCCTGGGGTTGGGGCCCGTGAGCGAGCGCCTGGTGGCCGGGCTTTCGCCCATGGGGCCCGGCCGGGCCCAGCCCGAACCGGATACATGGGCTCGTCCAACTGTGGACCCACCACCCGCAGGAGGAACATGAAGGGTCAGGTGCAATGCGAATCGGGTGGCAGACCAAGGCGGGAGCCTTGGCGGTCCAATCCCCGGACAAGAAAACTAGTTTTTGGGACATGGAACGTCACCTCGCTGGCGGGGAAGGAGCCGGAGCTTGTGGCAGAGGTTGAGCGGTACCGGCTAGATATAGTCGGACTCACCTCGACACATTGCATTGGCTCTGGAACCCGAGACCTGGAGAGGGGTTGGACACTCTACTTTGCTGGAGTTGCTCCGGGTGAGAGGCGGAGGGCTGGGGTTGGCTTTTTGTTAGCCCCGAGACTCTCTGCCTGTGTGTTGGGGTTTACCTCGGGGGACAAGAGGGTAGCTTCCTTGCGCCTTCGGGTCGGGGAACGGATCCTGACTGTTGTTTGTGCTTATGGGCCAAATATCAGTTCAGAGTACCCACCCTTTTTGGAGTCCCTGGGACGAGTGCTAGATAGTGCTCCATCAGGGGACTCCATTGTCCTGCTGGGGGACTTCAATGCTCACGTGGGCAATGACAGCTTGACCTGGAGGGGTGTGATTGGGAGGAACGGCCCACCTAATCTGAACTCGAGCGGTGTTTTGTTATTGGACTTCTGTGCAAGCCGCAGTTTGGCCATAACGAACACCATGTTCGAACATAAGGATGCCCACCGGTACACTTGGTACCAGGGCAGCCTAGGTCACAGGTCGATGATAGATTTTGTAGTCGTATCATCTGACCTGCGGCCGTATGTTTTGGACACCCGAGTGAAGAGAGGGGCGGAGCTGTCAACTGATCACCACCTGGTGGTGAGTTGGATCAGATGGCAAGGGAACATGCCGCGTAGACCTGGCAGACCCAAACGCATAGTGAGGGTCTGCTGGGAACGTCTGGCAGAAGAACCTGTCAAGACGGTCTTCAACTCCCACCTCCGGCAGAGCTTTGACCACGTCCCGAGAGCAGTGGGGGACATTGAGTCCGAGTGGGCCTTGTTCCACTCTGCGATTGTCGAGGCGGCTGTTGCTAGCTGTGGTCGTAAGGTGGCCGGTGCCAGTCGTGGTGGCAACCCCTGTACCCGCTGGTGGACACCAGAGGTTCGGGGAGCCGTCAGGCTGAAAAAGGAGGCCTACAGGGCGTGGCTGGTCTGTGGGTCTCCGGAGGCAGCAGACAGGTACCGGATAGCCAAGCGGGGTGCAGCAGTGGCAGTTGCCGAGGCAAAATCTCGGGCGTGGGAGGAGTTTGGTGAGGCCATGGAGAAAGACTATCGATCGGCTCCAAAGAGGTTCTGGCAAACTGTCCGGCGCCTCAGGAGAGGAAGGCAGCAACTCGCTCACACTGTTTACAGTGGGGATGGGGAGCTGCTGACGCCAACTGAGGCTATAGTCGGACGGTGGAAGGAATACTTTAAGGAGCTCCTCAATCCCACCAATGCGCATTCCGAGGAGGAACCAGAGCTGGGAGGCCTGGGGATGGACTGTCCGATCTCGGGGGCAGAAGTTGCTGAGGTAGTCAAACAACTACACAGCGGCGGAGCCCCGGGGGCGGATGAGGTTCGTCCTGGGTATCTCAAGGCTATGGATGTTGTAGGGCTGTCATGGTTGACACGTCTACAACATTGCGTGGTCATCGGGGGCAGTTCCTAGGGAGTGGCAGACCGGGGTGGTGGTCCCCATCTTTAAGAAGGGTGACCTGAGGGTGTGTTCCAACTATAGGGGGATCACACTCCTCAGCCTCCCGAGAAAGGTCTATGCCAAGGTACTGGAGAGGAGGGTCCGATCGATAGTTGAATCTCAGATTGAGGAGGAGCAGTGTGGTTTTCGTCCTGGCCGTGGAACTGTGGACCAGCTCTATACCCTTGCAAGGGTGATGGAGGGGGCATGGGAGTTCGCCCAACCAATCCACATGTGCTTTGTGGATTTGGAGAAGGCTTATGACCGTGTCCCCAGGGGCACCCTGTGGGGGACGCTCCAGGAGTATGGGGTGGGTGGCTTTCTGTTAAGGGCCATTCAGTCCCTTTACCAGAGGAGCGTGAGTTTGGTCCGCATAGCCGGTAGTAAGTCGGACCTGTTCCCAGTGAGGGTTGGACTCCGCCAGGGCTGCCCTTTGTCACCGGTTCTGTTCATCACTTTTATGGACAGAATTTCTAGGCGCAGCCGTGGTGTGGAGTGTGTCGAGTTTGGTGGCAGGAGAATCTCGTCTCTGCTTTTTGCGGATGATGTGGTCCTCCTAGCTTCATCCAGCTCTGACCTTCAGCTCTTGCTGGGTAGGTTCGCGGCCGAATGTGAAGCGGCTGGGATGAGAATCAGCACCTCCAAATCTGAGACCATGGTTCTCGACCGGAAAAGGGTGGCTTGCCACCTCCGGGTCGGGGGAGAGGTCCTACCTCAAGTGGAGGAGTTTAAGTATCTCGGGGTCTTGTTCACGAGTGATGGTAGGAGGGATCGGGAGATCGACAGGCGGATTGGTTCGGCGTCTGCAGTGATGCGGACGCTGAGCCGATCTGTCGTGGGGAAGAGGGAGCTGAGCCAGAAAGCCAGGCTCTCGATTTACCGGTCGATCTACGTCCCAATCCTCACCTATGGTCATGAGCTTTGGGTAATGACCGAAAGAACGAGATCGCGGATACAAGCGGCCGAAATGAGTTTCCTCCGTAGGGTGGCCGGGCTCAGCCTTAGACTCGGACTCGGAATAGAACCGCTGCTCCTCCGGATCGAAAGGAGCCAGTTGAGGTGGTTTGGGCATCTGGTCAGGATGCCTCCTGGACGCCTCCCCGGGGAGGTGTTTCGGGCATGTCCTGCCGGCAGAAGGCCCCCGGGTCGACCCAGGACACGTTGGAGAGGTTACATCTCCAATCTGGTCCGGGAACGCCTTGGGGTCCTGCCGGAGGAGCTGGTGGACAAGGCCGGGGAGAGGACGGCCTGGAGCTCCCTAATTGGGATGTTGCCCCTGCGACCCGGACCCGGATAAGCGGAGGAAGACGACGACGACGATGTTGAATTAATTATAGATTCACTAAATACAATATCTACTAAGAATTCACAACGCAGCCATAGAAACACTATGTGGTACGTATGGTGTGCGTACTTGTTTGAGTGTGTTTACTGGGTCAGAGTCTCTGGACTCAGGTGATGAAAACATGATGTTCCTGCTTCCTGTTTCCTGTTTAAGATGGATCACCGCCGATCGATAAGTCGAGTCACGTAGTGGTTCCTACCAGACCCGGTTCATCTCGCTGCTCTGTCTTCTCCATCCCCAGTGAGTCGTGGAGGATGGCTGCTTATACTGAGCCAGGATTCTCTGGAGGTTTCTTCCTGTTAAAAGGGAGTTTTCCTCTCCACTGTCGCTGCATGCTTGCTTAGTATGAGGATTGCTGTAAAGACTCTGACACTAGTCAGTGACTCTGCAACCTGCTGGGTTCCTTATATAGGAAACTTGTTACTGATTGGCTTAGTGACCTGACCTGTGTTGTTTACTGTGTGCAGGTCCTTGAGACGACTCTGGTCGTGACTTGGTGCTTTAGAAATGAACTGGATTGAGTTGAATCTATAATCTTATAACCAGTTGTCATAATCTGAAGGTTTTGAGGATGGACGATGCTTTAACCTCTGTTTTGTCCTGTTCTACAGAGCAGCTGAAAGGCCCGCTGGAGGAGTACGTGAACAAGCGCTACCCGGGTCTGGTAAAGATCGTACGGAACCAGAAGAGAGAGGGGCTGATCCGGGCCAGGATCGAGGGCTGGAAGGTGGCCACTGCTGAAGTTACGGGCTTTTTTGATGCTCATGTGGAGTTTACTCCCTCTTGGTAAGTTCCTGTTTGAGTAGAAAGATGAAAACAAAAAGCACCAATAATCCACCTAGAATTAGCTTCTGGAATAATCTGAACTGCAGCTGATCGACGTTTTCAAATGGAAATACAGGTCCTTCTCAAAACATTAGCATATTGTGATAAAGTTCATTATTGTCTGTAAACATTAGACTTTCATATATATCAGATTCATTACACACAACTGAAGTAGTTCAAGCCTTTTGTTTCTAATATTGATGATTTTGGCGTACAGCTCATGAAAACCCAAAACTCCTCTCAAATAATCAGCATATTTCATCCGACCAGTAAAAGAAACGTGTTTTAATACAGAAGGGACGGCCTCTGAGTTCACAGGGATGAAAAATAAATGCATTTAAACTAAAAACATATTTTTTTGCTCTTCTATGCGCGCGGTCAGCATTTTTGTACCACGTGGCTTTCTACAGTCTCGCTGTCCCGGATGTGACGTAACCCGTCAGGACGTGGAAAACGAAGCCGTGCAGTGTTTAAAGGTTGATTAGCTCTTTGTGATGGTCTTGAATTTATTTTTAGAAGGTCTTAATTTTGAGATTCCTGCACAAAACCTGAGTCATTAATGTAAGTCAGCTTTGTGCAGTAGAGCAGGGGCTCCCAAATGGGGGGTCAGGACCCCCCAAGGGGGGTCCCCACAATTTTGTCTTTGCTGAGATTTTGAGGTTAGCAAGAATTTATTTGTAAAAATCACATTATAAACTCCCAATAACACACCCTACAGTATAATCAGAACTCCATATATAATGTATAACTGTGTCTGTATATTTATTTATTTATCTCAAACCATCGAAAACATGAAATTGCATATGCACTCCCCCATATTCCTGGTGCATAAATTTTTATTTATTTTTTTTTAAATGTGGAATATGATAAACATATGCTGTTGAATGAAACAATACAAAACATACAATAACATAAAACCATTTGAGAGGGAACTGGAAGAAGCAAAAGCTTATCTAGTCCAGCCCCAATTCAGTTAATAAATCACATTTGCTCACATTAACAAATTTGAAAAAAAAAAAAAAAACTTTTCTTTATGCAGGTCGTTCTATCTTCACCTTGCTACATAAAAAGACAGTTGCAAAACAATTGTTCACATGAATCTACAGAAAAAGAAAACAAAACCAATAAACAACAAAAACAAAATATTCCATTTGAAGCCAATTACCATTTTTATCACTTGCTATTTATGCTTTTTAATTATAAGTTGTTCATACAACATTTTAAATGATCTAATGTTTTTACATAATTTTAAAGTCACATCAAGTTTGTTCCACAGTTTGATACCACACACAGATACACACATACTTTTCATAGTTGTTCGGTATAATGGAAAAATGAAGTTTTTAACGCCTCTCAATTCATAACCTTCTTCATGAGTTTTAAACATCCTTTGCAAATTACACGGCAGTACACCCATCATGGCCCTATACGGTACTAGGGCAGTTTTAAATTGAATTAAGTCAAAAAATTTGAGTAAACTGGAATTATAGAATAATGGAGTTGTATGATCTCTATATGCAGAATTTGTAATTATCCTTACCACTCTTTTTTGGAGAACACAAATCTTTGATAAATTAGATTTATAAGTATTGCCCCATACTTCTACACAATATGATAAGTATGGTAGAATCATAGTACAATAAAGTGTGTGTAGTGCTTTCTGTGGTAGAGAATACCTTGTTTTATTTATTATCCCAATGCTTCTGGCTAATTTAGAACACACATATTGTATGTATGGCTTCCAACAGAGCTTATGATCAATCAATATCCCCAAAAACTTAATTTCATACACTCTTTCAATGGCTATTTCATTAACAGTCAAATAGATTTCTTTACTACTTCTTTTATTTCCAAATAACATAAACTTTGTTGTGCTGACATTTAACGACAGTTTGTTTTTCTCAAACCAATTCTTAAGCTTACTCAATTCATTCTGGACCTTTAGTATAAGTTGCTGTATATCTTCTGCTGAACACAAAATATTTGTATCATCAGCAAACATAATAAATTTAAATAATTTTGAAGTTGTGTAAATATCATTTATATATAAAAGAAATAACTTTGGGCCAAGTACCGACCCTTGCGGAACTCCACAGTGAACTTCGAGACCGCTAGACTTGTGATAACCCAACTGGACATACTGAGCTCTGTTACTCAAATAACTTTTTAGCCAATTGAGAGCTTCAACAATAAAGAGACATCATGAACATTAGTTTGTTTGTTTGTAAAGCCCCTTCCCAACCCGGTGCCAAACATAATCCGCTATCTCGTGTTTCTGCGGTCAGGGCCGAGCCCGTACTCGCCAGGATCAGAGAGGACCACAAGCGAATCATCCTGCCCTCCATCGACAACATCAAGCACGACACCTTTGAGGTGGAGCGCTACGAGAACTCGGGCCATGGCTACAACTGGGAGCTGTGGTGCATGTACATCAACCCGCCCAAACAGTGGTGGGACGAGGGCGACATGTCTGCTCCCATCAGGTAAGCCGGGTCACATGGCGCTGGTGCCAACATTTCCTGCTGACTGTTTTCTTGTAGATCTTTTTAAACCCGAGATGCTCCAGGAGTAACGGTTCTGATGTTTACAGAACTCCTGCCATGATTGGCTGCTCCTTCGTGACCAACCGGGACTACTTTGGAGAGCTAGGTCTACTGGACTCGGGCATGGACGTCTACGGGGGCGAGAACATAGAGCTGGGCATCAGGGTTTGTGTGTTAACCCTTGACCTCTGCATTTATCAGTAGTTCTGCTGCTCCACAGAGACCCATTAGAGGTCCTGCAGGACCAGCGAAGCATAAACGGGTCACACAAAACTGGCAGGACTTCAAATCTATTTAACTGCTGAAAAGAAAAAAAAGAACTAGAATGTTTTTAATTAGAATTTTAATCTAATTAACTCAGAAATAACTCGGATCATTTAGAAGTTTGTGATTTTACTGAACCGCCTCTGATCCGCTGTCGTCCTTCCTGCAGGTGTGGCTGTGCGGAGGCAGCATGGAGGTGCTGCCTTGCTCCAGGGTGGCTCACATCGCCAGAATAAAGAAGCCGTACCACAGCAACATAGTGTTCCACATGCGGCGTAACGCTCTGCGTGTGGCGGAGGTCTGGATGGATGACTACAAGTCTAACGTATACCTGGCCTGGAACATCCCTATGGAGGTGAGACCCAGTCTTACACGTCAGAATCAGACACACATCAAGCTTTGCCCTTCTATGGCTTCAGATCCCGGGCAAACCCCCAGCCTCTTATATGTCCTGTTTAAGTCTAGTGTGTAGGAATAAAGACGTTACACGTAGAGTTAAATAAGTTTTATTAACATTTCAGTGAAGAAAACAATTCCCACCTAAACAGGTTAAACCGGTAATGAGCCACAAATCCCGCCCATAACTAAGATTAACCTGAAAAAGGTCCAACAGAGGCTTTCACACTCAAATATCCAAACGTTTCCACTAGAAAGAAAGAACATCTTTTATACGTGGCCTCAAGCTAAAAATCACAAGGAAAGGGAAATCAGTGGATCCTAGCAAAGGTAGAAAGAGCCGAACAAGAAGGTCCCACCAAAGCCTGAACAGGTGAGTTTAAAGGAGACCACTGAGTCCAGAGTCTGGGGGCCACAGCAGCAGATGATCTGTCACCTTTGACCCTTAGCCTGGAGGAGAAGCGGGGTGATGTGGGTGTGTTTGGAGGACTTGGTCAGAAGCAGAGCACAGGCGTTCTGAACCACCTGTAGACGGTTCAGGGAGGTTCTGCTCAGACACGTGAAAAGAGAGTTACAGTAGTCTAAGCGTGAGGAGATGAAGGTGTGGAGAACTGTCTCAAGTTCAGAGCGGGACAGAATGGGACTCAGCTTAGCAACGTTCCTGAGATGGAAGAAGGAAGAGCCAACAAGAGAACTGACATGAGAATCCAGGGTGAGAGCTGGGTCAAAGGTCACACCAAGATTCCTGACAGAAGGTTTGGTGTGAGAAGCAAGCTGACCAAGAGAGTCTCTGACTTTGAGAACCAGCTGTCTGGGGCACAGATGAGGATCTCAGTCTTACCTTCATTCAGCTGAAGAAAGCTCCCACCATCCAGGCTTTAATAGAGTCTAAGCAGGTGTGTAACAGCTGCAGCTTAGACATCTCATGGGGCTTAAAGGAGATGTACAGTTGGATGTCATCTGCATAAAGATGGTAGGAGATTCCTTTGAAGGAGCTCAGGATGTGCTGAAGAGGAAGCAGATAGAGGAGGAAGAGCAGAGGCCCCAGCACAGAACCTTGTGGGACACCATGGGTAAGAGAGGTGGTGGAGGACCTAAACTTGGAGACGGCCACAGAGCAGGAGCGCTCAGAGAGATAAGAGGAGAACCACTCCAGAGCAGATCCTGATAGGCCTACCCAGTCTCTCAGCCTCTCCAGTAGCAGGTGATGGTCAACAGTGTCAAAGGCTGCAGTCAGGTCCAGCAGGACCAGAACAGAACAGTCCCCTGCATCACTGTGAGTCAGAAGGTCATTAGAGACCCTAAGAAGAGCTGTTTCAGTAGAATGAGCTCTAGGAAAACCTGACTGGAAGCTATCATAGATGTTATGTTCATCAAGAGCAGCTGTGAGTTGTTTAGCCACAACCTTTTCCAAGATCTTGGAGATGAACGGAAGTTTAGAGATGGGTCTGAAGCTGTTATGGAGAGAGGGGTCGAGACTCGGTTTTGTAAGAAGCGGGTGGATTACAGCGTTCTTAAAGTAAGCAGGAACCTGACCAGAGACCAGAGAAGCATTAATTATAGAGAGCACGCTGGGACCGATGGACTGGAGGGTAAGATGTGGAGGGGACTCGGGACTCGTTGGATTGGTAGACCGAAACAGGCCTGCAGTAACGCTTCTGCTTCCTGTTGCAGAACCATGGCATCGATTATGGAGACGTGTCCCAGAGGGTGTCTCTGAGGAAGAGTCTGCAGTGTAAGAGCTTTAAGTGGTACCTGGACAACGTTTACCCAGAGATGAGGAGGTACAACAACACGCTGTTCTACGGCGAGGTGAGTCATCAGCCGTCTGACACAAAGCATGCTGGGAGATCCCGTCTGCAGCTCAGAGGAATGTTCTTTGGTTCCAGATCCGTAACGCTAAAGTGAGCCACCTGTGCATGGATCAAGGCGTGAAGGAGAACCACACCGCCACGCTGCACCCGTGTCACGGCTGGGGTTCTCAGGTAGAACAGCTGACTGATGCACGCTGGAGAAAATCCTGCTGTCACAGCTAAACGTTTGTTTTTGCACTCGTGTCTAAAACCGAGTCGGCGGGTTTCTCAGCTCTGAGCGACACAAACGTCAACTTCAGGGATCTGCAGACAGAATGAGGGACGTGTTATTAAAGCAGGAGTTTCCTGACAGCCGCAGGCTTACCCCTGTAGCCCCCTCATCCACCTTCCCACCCTCGTTTCTAGTGGGACCTTCTGCAGCAGGGTCCCGCATCACAAAGGTGTTACAGATATGACAGCAGCTGGTAGAGCAGGTCTGTAATGAGAAGGTTGCCGGTTTGATCCCGGCTCTGACCAGACAATGCTGCTGTTGTGTCCTTGGGCTAGACATCTAACCTGCCGTGGCTGTATCGCAGCTTGTCCCTACTGGTGTTGTAAAGCGCCTTGGGGTATGGCGCGGTATGGGGGCCAAAATTAAGACTACTGCCCAGCAGCAGGAGGCTATATGAGTTCCGAAGCAAACCACTGATCTGATTAATGATAAGCTGGCGCCGGTAACTGAGAGGCTGGCGCTGCTTACTGAGAAATAGCACCTTTACGGCGTTACTACTAGATACGCTAGGGACTAGCAGCACTCGGCTGGTCATTGACTGGTTCAAGCACTCCCTCTGCTGTCTATTAGCATGGATAGGCTAGCGTTAGCCTGGACGAGCTGGTGTTAGCATTGGAGAGGCTAGCCATTAGTGTACCTAGGCTGGCCACCAGCTGGATTTCCTACCCCCTTGATGGACCATTAGCATGGATAGGCTGGCATTAGCATCGGAGAGGCTAACCATTAGCATGCCTAGGCTGGCCACTAGCTGACTAGTGACTCTCCGAGACATGCTAATGCCTAGCCTCTCTGATGCTAACGCCACCCTATCCATGCTTATGGTCCGTCGAGGAGGTAGGAAATCCAGCTAGTGGCCAGCCTAGGCACGCTAATGGCTAGCCTATCCATGCTAATAGACAGCAGAGGGAATGTTTGAACCAGTCAATGACCAGCCGAGTGCTGCTTGTCCCTAGCGTATCTAGTAGTAACGCCGTAAAGGTGCTATTTCTCAGTAAGCAGTGCCAGCCTCTCAGTTACCGGTGCCAGCTTATCATTCATCAGGTCGGTAGTTTGCTTCAGAATTTATATATCCTCCTGCTGCTGGGCAGTAGTCTTAATTTTGGCCCCCATACCGCGCCATATTGGGGGGTTGTAGAACCCTCACAGGGTGCTCTACAGATACAGACCATCTAAAGCTGGGCTTCTCCAGCAGAAACAGGCTCGCCGTGTTTGAGCCAGATTCCTACGGATAAGGCTGATTTACAGGAAAACCGGCTGTAAACACGTTAGTGGAACAAAAACACTTCCTGTGCTTCAAAGCAGGATAAAAATTCCCTGCTGCTGCGGGAAGTTCCTGCCAGGATTAGTTGTTGCTGCATCTTTGCTTTTATCCCACAGCGATGACGAAAGTGTAAAGAAGCTCTTTGGGCTGCTGTGGCTAGGATGCAGCTCACCACCACCAGGGTGAAGCACTTTGGAGGCCTTTAAGTCAGAAAAGCAGGTCTCAGAAGATGTTTGTAGGCCTCAGGGAGACTTTACCTGAGCCGGTTTGGGTTTCTCCTCCAGTTGGGACGATACACCAAAGATGGCCGGCTGTTCCTGGGTCCACTTGGCAGCACTGGGGAGGACACTCGCTGTGTGGTGGACGATCAGCTCAGCAGCTTCCCACAGCTCCTCGACTGCGACAAAGTGACAAACGTCAGACAGAAAATGTGGAGTTTCTCCCAGGTGAGATGCAGAAGGAGCTCCGCCCACTTCAGTTTGATCCGTTAGCCTAGCAGGAAAAGCTCAGATCTGTAGTTCTTAATCGGAAGGTCTCATGTGGATTTAGATGTTTGGTGTTTAGGACTAACCCTAACCCCGCTTTCTCCGGCTGGGCAGAACGACTCCATCACTAACCGAGCCACAGGACGCTGCCTGGAGGTGGTACCGGCCAACGTTTACTTCGGCCACCTGCTGGTGCTGCAGCCCTGCTCGGGTCAGAGGTGGACCATCAAGAACAGCATGAAGCAATAACACGCAGACCGGGCCGTGATTGGCCCGGATGTGTCACCTGACCCTCTTCTGTAAGAAACAGAAACTGGGTTCTGCAGATGAGAGGTTTGGAGAGTCGGAGATGAAGGGAAGCATGAGGACGATTTCACCGTTAAATACGAAACACTTTGGTGTCCGTTCCCGTTTGTGTCTCTTCTGTTGTCTTTTAGGTCCGAGACGTTATTTTTAATATTTCTGCCCGTCTCAGAAGAAACCATCAGGAGGTGAACTCCAGTCAGACGCAGAAAGCAAGGATGGATTTGAACTTTTGTTCCTACTTTTAATGCAGGAAACAGAAGGAAAGAGTTCAGAAATAATCCTAAAAGGACTTTTTTTATTCCCTCAGAGGTCTAGATGATGTAAATATTTATAAATCAGACCGTAAGTTTCAACTCTAATGAAGCTTATTTTTATCTGGACTCATGTTTCTACGTGAGGGTTTCTGCAGCGTGACCGGGACAACCTGACGCTCATAACTATCCTCTGACCTGATGAGTGCCGTGATAACAGCAGATGGGAGGAAGAGGGGTTGTTGCCATGGCGATGGTGTTCCGTGTTTTTGTTTGTTTCCAAGATGGTCTTCCAATAAAAATAAAACTGTCCTGTTTGTACATGCCTCCTGGTTTTTGTTACCATTTTAATATCAGATGGGAGGGGGGGGGGGGGGGGGGGGTGTGTTTACTCACCTGCAGGGTGACGGTTCTCAGCCATCCAGGTCGTAGGAATCTAAAAGGACATGGACTTCTGGTTAAGAAGTCCAGTTGCCTTTGGTTAAAACCTTTTTGGATAACTTCAGAGTAAATGTGCAGGAACTTCCCGACAAGTGCATGTCTCCACGAGTACCTGATCAGGGGTCTGTACTGGAAATGGCTCGGAGGAGTCGCTGAGCGGAACGTTGGTTAGCACACCGATTGGTCGTAACTCAGTAGGAAATGACATCAGCAGACGTCCAAGACAACCTGCAGTAGTATAGTTAGGAGTTGTTGAAGCAGAATGGAAGCAAAAGGAAATAATTCAAGTTTATTTATAAAGCTCCACATCAGGACCAGAGTCGTCTCAAGGACCTTCACACAGTAAACATCCCAACACAGGTCAGCTCATTAAGCCAATCAGTAACAAGTTTCCTATATAAGGAACCCAGCAGGTTGCATCAAGTCACTGACTAGTGTCAGAGTCTTTACAGCAATCCTCATACTAAGCAAGCATGCAGCGACAGTGGAGAGGAAAACTCCCTTTTAACAGGAAGAAACCTCCAGAGAATCCTGGCTCAGTATAAACAGCCATCCTCCATGACTCACTGGGGATGGAGAAGACAGAGCAGGCACACACACACACACACCAAGTAGTGTGTGGTTACATTGTGATCTCTTAGTGAACCTATAATTAAACAGGTAAACTAGTAGTAGCACATTCAATGTCAAAGAGAGTAAAAAATTATTATCAGGAGAGGGAGAATGTTTAAGTGGTTAGCAGCAGTGTGCTAGACGATGGCCCCCTCCATGAGGCCACCACAGCTCAGCAGAACATCGTTGTAGCTTCTTCTGGGGAGAAAAACACTTAGAGAGAAAATAAAGTTAACAGTTGAAATAGCAGGAAATAATACAGTTAAAGAGCAGATTGTAGAAGAAAGCAGTCGAGTGTGGGAAGTGGTCAGTGTATCCTCCAGCAGTCTAAGCCTATAGCAGCATAACTACAGAGATAACTCTGGAGAATCTATCCTATTTAGATGGAGGCATGTTGGAGGCAGGGCAAGGGAGAGCCGTCTTTACCGACTGTACACTCCACCTCCATCTACTCCCCCACTTGTCCAGATTTAGGCTAACATCAGATTTTAACCATAGGCCCTATCAAATAAAAATGTTTTAAGCCTATTCTTAAAAGTAGACAAGGTGTCTGCCTCACGGACTAAAACTGGGAGCTGGTTCCACAGGAGAGGAGCCTGATAACTAAAAGATCTGCCTCCCATCCTAATTTTAGATATTCTGGGAACCACCAGTAGACCTGCAGTCTGAGAGCGAAGTGCTCGGTTAGGAACATATGGAACAATCAGATCACTGATGTATGATGGAGCTTGATTATTAAGAGCTTTATATGTGAGAAGAAGGATCTTAAAATCTATTCTGAATTTAACAGGTAGCCAATGTAGGGAAGCTAAGACAGGAGAGATATGATCTCTCTTTTTAATTCTCATCAGAACTCTAGCTGCAGCATTTTGGACAAGCTGAAGACTTTTAACTACATTCTGTGGACTTCATGAGAGTAATGAATTACAGTAATCCAGTCTTGATGTAATAAATGCATGAACTAGTTTTTCAGCATCACTCCTGGAAAGGATGCTTCTAATCTTAGCAATATTCCAAAGGTGGAAAAAGGAAATCCTACAAACCTGTGAAACCTGGGATTTGAATGACATGTCCTGGTCGAAGATAACACCTGCAATCGTTTTGTAAGGTGCTCCGGGAGCAACCACAAAGATCAGACGGATTTAAGAAATATTAACATTAAAAAACTCACCAGAAATATAATACTACCCTTTACAACTGGAACAATGAGTCTCTACTACATTTCAAGTGTGGGTGAATCTATACATAAAATAAGAAAATGGCTAAAGCTAACAACAAAACCCTACTAACTCATGACTGCCTTGGTTCGGACAATATGGATACCAACTCAAAAGGGAATAAAAAGCCATTATCATCACCCTGCAAACCCATAACACCACACAAAACAAAAAGGAGGAGAAGAAACTGACTAATGAATCCAACAGCGCGCTTCGAGTCGCCAAGATCGTGACGAGAAAAATAAGCAGTTGGAAAAGCAAATAAGTCAGCTCAAAATTACAATTTAAGTCTTAACCGAAAAAGTTGAACATTTGGAAAACCAACCATCCAACCTTGACTGATACAAAAGAAAGTGGAACCTACGGCTCAAAGGCTTAAAGGAAGACAAAGAAGAAGATGTAAGACTTAAGCGTATCGAACGTCATTGAGAAGATCCAACCCAGCTTGAAGGAGAAAGTTATTATTCTGGACTCTGTTTGCCATATCGGCCTCAGACCACCCAAACAAATCATACAATTCACCAGCCGTGTCTACAGAGATGAAATTTGGAGATCCACAAAACAACATCCCACCTGCTGAAAGCTCAACAACCGAATCATCAACGACCTCATGAAGGAGGGCCGTGAAGCACGTCTTGCTGTGTGGCCTAGGGTGGAACAAGCAAGAAAAGCACGTCTGAAAACCACCTTTAAAGGTCCGTGTGCCTTCATCAACAGACAGCGTGTTACACCCTAGCCAGATTTAACAGACATGTAAGTGAAGAAGGGCACAAATATGTATATTTACATATATATGTAGTTGTATGGTGATGCAGATACACAAACTAGAATACAATGAGTTCAGATTACCAGCTTTGGGGATTGCTACCAAGGCTCCCTTATTACTTTATCACAGGCTTTGGTGCGACCTTCATCAACCTCTCCTTGTTCTGCTCCCCCCATGTTCCACTGATTTCCCTCTTTTCTGCTCACTCTCTCTCTTTCTTTACATTTTTAATCACGATTGTTTATTTTTTGCTCATTTAAAACATTTTTAATCATTTTCTAAATTCTTTTTTATATTTTACATTTTTTGTTTTTGTGAAGCGCTTCGTGATTTTTATCCTGAGGCGCTATAGAAATGATCTCTTCTTCTACTTTCGGTAAGTTAATCCTGTATCGTTCATGATTTTGTTCATTATGTTTATTATAAGCAGCAAACTCCTGTTGATCTCTGTTAAAGCTAGAGGGTTAATGGAGATTACTAATAGGAAAAGCCTCATCTTCTCACAGGAAGCTCTAAACAAGACAGGAAACTTTGGACTAATCAGTGAGGCGATGAAGCCTTTTTTCCTCTAGGCTCCTCCAGATCAGCTGGGGTTGCCATCCTGTTGAAAAACTTCAGGCTAAATTATCTCACACGAGAATGATATTGTGGGCCACTGGTTAATTCTAGGGGTGCACCGATACAGATATCCGGCATTAACTCATTTGCTGCCAGCGTTTCTCACCGTTTTTTTAAGAGTAACAGAACGTTGTGCGCTAGCATGATGTCGACGCCAAAACAACCAAAACAAGGCGGAGACTCACCTCTTACATCAGGAAGAATCCGCGCGTTTCGAGCTTTATCCGTTCTTTCATAATCCGTTGTTGAATTGTGATCGGCAGAAGCTTTTCCGGTTCGCGCCTCACTTTCTTCACAGCAGCGGCCCAAAACGATCTCCTAACACATGGATGTTCTGCTTCCTGATCACGTGACGTGTGACGTACGCAGATGAAGATCGGCTTTAGAGCTGGGATATTTGTTCTCACGGTGCGGGGGCTCGTCTGACGCCCACACAGTAAAAAAAATAAAAAAATAAAAAATGCAAATGGCGACTTTAGTCGTCATTGGCGGTGAATGAGTTAATATCACTGTTGTGGCCGATAACCGATGTTTGCCGATACTGATTTATGCTTCTGAAATCAGCAAATTTTGCATGGACTGAAATTATGAACACACACACACTTATGCTTCTGAGATGACTCCCATCACTCTCACAGGACTAAATTACACATCATCACCACGAGCAAAACGTTGTAACCCTTCAAATAACGTTGGATAATACGTACATAAAAACTAAAGGAGCCTTCTTCCGATCCGGAGCCAAATGGACTGAGGAAGGTGAGAAAACAGCTTATTTCTGTAACATGGAAAAAAGAAGATGGCAAAGAAATTCTATAAACTCTGTAATAATAAATAATGTTGAATCCGCAGAGGAAGCATTTATAAGACAAGAAATATTAAGATTTAACCAAAATGTAAACACTTCCTAATTCTCACTTCTCTAAACCACGTTAACTCTTTCATCTCTAAAATAGATGACTGCTTCAAAAATACCAGCGAGAAGGGAATTACTGATAGAACGTAATACAATCACACGGTTAGGTATTAATAAAGCACCTGGCCCAGGTGGCCCTACAGGTAACTTCTACCTCTGGGAGGACACCACATTTTTACTCCTTGAAGTTCCGCCCACAGCGAGACAAGGAATCATCTCTATCCCCGAACCAGGCAGAGACCCAAGAACTACTGGAAACAGACGACCCGTCACACTTATTCGGACTATAATCGCTTACTTGCATATTTTCTCTGCGCCTCTAATCAGGAAGTTCAGATACTGTCAGTGAATCACAATCCAGCTTTCTAAAGGTCTGATCAACCCATAAGAACATTGGATTGGTGATGGACGTGATTGCACACAAAGATCTGATTACTGACAACAGACGTTTACGAAGCCTTCGACTCTGCAGAACATCAGTTCATCTTCTCAGTCTCAGAGCACTTTGGTGACAACTGATCCATGTAATCAAAGGCCTATATGCAAACAGCTGCATCATCCTACCCAAAACACCACCCCTGGGTTTAATATTAACGTTGGAGGTTGTCCAACCTCACCATCTCTCCTCACCCAGGTTACAGAAATGTGAGCGTTATATTAAAATTGTGGCAGCATCGCAAAACTAAATGTTCTAGGTACTGATGTAATTATAAGTCAGTTTGCAGATGACACCACTCTTTTTGTAAAGGACACTGAACGAACTCCTACATTCATCCAAGTCAACTCTTCTCTGCTGCTTCAGGTCTGAACTCTTAGCCACACTTTTAAGGGAAATACTAAACATCCCTATTAAATCTGAGATGAAAGTTTAAATATTAAATATGCATTTATAATATATAAAATATTAAGTTAAAAAAACATGAAAATCTTAGGTGTGTTCTTGCTGTGTCTTTCTAAATCCATGCTTTCGTTCTTTTTTAAACACAGAAACAGTTTTGTTTACCTGTTTGTAGCTACAGTTTCGCCGATGGCTGCCGGCTTCTTCAGGCTGACGCTGATGGTGGCGCGTCACTTCCTTCTCCGTTTATCTGCGGGCAGCAGAGGACGTTGTCGCCCTCTACTGCCCGCTCTCCCCTCTCCGACGATGCAGTCCCATGCGTGGTCCAGCGTGTAAACTCCGTCGTCTCTGTTCATGGTCCCACATCCACGTCTCCAAACAGGTCAACAAAACTGTTTCTGTGTTTAAAAAAGAACGAAAGCATGAACCATGAAAATGCTAAACGAGCCTGTTCCGACTTCCAGGAACGCACAATGTTTTCTAATCCGCTTTTCCTTACGCCCTGGACCGCATATGTTGTACCAGTGACGGGTGTTTCGACCACGCCTGTCACGTGCTTTGATTATCAGCTTGTAAAAGTTGATAATTAGCGTGACGACAACCCAGACATTGGCACGTCGCATATATATGACATCACCACAGAATCCCCTCCCCCGAGCGTAGCTGCTACTCACATCTGAAAGTCGCTTTGGACAAAAGCGTCTGCTAAATACATAAACATGAACAAATTCAGGGAACTGGCAGCAGGTGTGGCTCTGAACATCAGAACCAGAGGACGCTGACCCTAGAAGGACGAGCTCCTTGTTGCCACTAAGCTGCCCCGGCTGGAGCATCCCTAAATGTTTCAGATGTAAATGAAACGGGAGGAAGCTGCAGGGAGCACAAGGCCCCGTTTCAAGCTGAGGCTGCAGAGACGCTGGAGGACAGTGCCTGCATGCTAAGACCTCCCTCGGCGCTGAGCACACACCGAAGGAGAAAAGCCCCCCAACTCTTCATCTGAGCTGTGTGGCAGAATGAGCTGCACACTTTAGCTGTTTCTGTTATTATAAACCTTTGATGCATCAACACAACTGACCCTAAACTGTTTTTGGGTGAATCCTTGCTAAACTTTTTCCTGGAGTTAAGTTTTCCATTCACAGCTTTTTTGGAACTAGCAGCTTTCCATGAAGATCAAACAAAAGCCAATAAAACCTAAAAACGGGACTGAATCAGTGCTGAAACAACCGGATCAGGCCAGAGCATCATCTGAGCCATATGGTGCTGACAGAAGGTCAGCTTCATGGCAGCTGGTGTGTGTGTTCAGGCTGCAGAACTGTAGCAGAACCCGACTTCACCTCTGAGCATCATGCATCAGGAGTTCTGGTCCAGTCGGTGAAGGTCGGAGGTGGTTTTCTATGGAAAAGGCGTCATCTGATCAAAATCTTCATCCTGCAGCACATCAGATTCATGCTGAGATGAAACTTTCCAGGGAAAGAAGAAACGTTTGGAAGCAGATGGTTTCCAAAGCGGTCATCAGAAAATCTGGGTTTAGACTCAAGCCAGACATGATGACATCAGTTTTACATTTTTATCATAAACAATCAGGAACCAACATTTTTATTTTAAATAAACCATCAGCTCTGGTGCCTGATGCTGCCCCCTGGTGCTCACCAACAGTCTCACATTCATGTTTACATAAGGGCTGCGTTCCATTTCTGCTGCGCCGTGTGTTAAAAGTCATCCTGGGCAGATCATCAGAGCCCGTCTGAGGAACCTTGTCAGTAATTTCAAACAGAAGCTTTATTAATGCAAACTAGTTCTGGTTCGTTTCAGATTATTGGGTGAAATGTGGGATTTACTCGGCTCTGCAGGAAGATCTGGGATTAGATTTTCCTAAACCAGTTTTTGTTAATGAAGCTGAAACTGAGTTTAAATCAAAGATCAGACGAGAAGAAACAAATTCAGATGCTTTCCTCTCTGATTCGGGAGCGTGGTTAGGGTTAATCCCGAAATACTCCCAAATCAAACTCGCGAGGAAGTCTGACAAGTCAGTGACTCGATGCAGTCTGATGGCTTTCCTGCGTAGGTTAATAGTGCCTTGAGACGACTTGTGACGAATAAACTGAATGAAATAGAAATGAACCGACGCAGTCTCAGATTAAACTAGGAGCTTTTTCTTATTGGTTTTCATTAAAACTTGTGGTTCGGATTAAAAACTTCTTGTCATCCTATATTCCCTTAAACAGATTATTTTCTGCCAAACTCAGAGATGCATGTTTCTCAGGATTGGGATTAAGCTAAATTACCTGCTAATCTCACTCTGACGATGAAGTCTTGTTTCTAATTTAAGAAAACACATAAAACTATTTTCAGATTAAATGTCTTAATCTAACGAACTAATCACAGGATTATCAGATTTTTACCTGAAACCTGACCAGGTCCTGCTGCCACAGACCCAGCTCCTTCCTGCACACCTGCTCCTCGTCTCGTCATCACTCACCTGTAGCTCCTCCCACTGGCTTTCCCCTCAGATCTCCTGGATGAAACCAGAACATTTCACTTTTACACGAACCTGGTGGGATTCTGGGTTTCAGACACCAGTTTCACCTGTTCTGGCTCTAAAACGTTCCTCACCTGTTTGACAAAGTGGATCAAAACCTTCCGCTCTGGCCAGAAACACGATGCAGCTGCACGCTGGAGCAGCTGGTAGGGCGGATGCCACGCAGCAAGAAGGTTGCACGTTAGAATCCCGGCTGCAGCTTTCTCCCCGTGGCTGGGAGTGACCGTCTGGCGGCCCTAACCCTGGAGGTGGAGCCCAGCTCCCTGAGACTCTAGTGAGGCATGAATGTTTCAGATAAAAACACGAAGCACGCATGAAAAAAGAACTTTTTATTGCAACTATTCATTTTTATACAGATTTCCATTATTTACACATAAT